AGATCAACCTCGTGACCAATTTAGAGAACAAATTCTGGGCATAGGAAGCGAGATGGTTGGAATTACTGTTTTGGATCCCGGTAATTTTCCCACAGATTATATCTGGTCATTTTATAACCAGAATATAACGAACATTTTTTGCTTCGGGAAGGACTTTTATAGCAGCCCGGTTTCCACGGTTTCCACTTACGACTTAGCTCCCAAAAGCGCCAAAACTTTCCAAGTTCTTAGTGTTGGAAGCCTGGCCAGCGCACGCTTTAAAGCATCAGCGGGAATTATTCTGGACGGTGATGACAAAGACTACATTTTGACTCTGAATGATAACTCAATGGATGTGAAAGACCTGGAAATTGTTCTGAAGTTTCAAAACACAACTCAAACTGTGGTCGATTTGACTATATCTAGTGACTTCCCTATTTTAATACAGGGCAATGCGAGCCATAGCGGAGAAAACATGTATCTTGTCCTGAGTATAAATGGTAAGTAGAAAACAACAACCTCTGCTTTCCAGGAAAAATAAAATATAATGCTGTCATTTGTAACTCGGATTTTAAACGCGGTAATCAATTCCAGTTTTGGTCAAAATGAATTAATTCAGTATCCCCCCCCCCCCCCCTAAACTGCTTTGGAGGGAGGATGTTGAATTGGTCCTTCGCGAGCTTAGCAAAATTTTGTGGGCCATGCTAGAGAAACATAGTTTCCTGGAAACGAGAATTGAATATTTTAAAAAAACTATTTTTTGGTGTCATTTGGATTTATATCGTGTTTCTCACTAAGTTGCAGAACCATTAGAATAAAACTAGATGATGCTCAAAAGAAAAATTTTTCGTCAATTTTTTTATTTTTGCTCCAGTTTTTTTTTATTTTGTCAAATATTCTCATACGGTCATACCGAAGTTTTATACAGTCATACAAAACTCATACAGTCACATCGAACTTTCCTAACTAAAGGTTCAAAATACAGGGAGCAACGAAATAATATTAATTGTTCCAAATTGAATTGAGACTAGTTAACCGGGTGGGTCGTATTAATTTTGTACATTTCACACTCTGATATTGTCCAAAATTTATAGGTTTTCAATGTTTTCTTTTCCCAAAAACTATTGGAAATGAATTAACTGACAGTCGGATATTCAGGGCTTTGCCTTGATATACGAGCAATCTTGTTAATGAAAATGGTTGTTTTTGTTTCGACTTTCGTAACGAAAGTAACGGAATATTTGTGATCGGTGTGGTTTTTTTCTTCAGACAAATTTCGATAATTTAACCAGCCATTTTTGACGGCCATTTTTGATTTTTTTAAAGATCATTCAAAAAGTATTGTTGGCTTGAGCAGAATTTCAACAGAAGTTACACCCGTGATCAATTTTTGTTAAGTTATGGGGGTTTAAAAATTGTCTTTTTGGTAAGTTTGGACAATTAACGCGCAATATATTTCGCGCTATTAACGCGTAAGTACAGATTTCTTCCGCCTTAGAAGAAATCGTTCCGAATTGGTTGAAGAAAACTTATTGTTCCGACTTTTGAAGAAAGTGAGGAATATTTATACTTAGTGTGGTTTTTTTTATTCAGTCAATTTTCGACTTGCTAACTAAGCGTTTTTGAAGGATTTTTTATACCCTCTGAGAAATATTGTAATTCTAAGCTCATATTTAGAAAAATATTCCATTTGTGATTATTTGGTGAAGTTATGGGCTTTTGAAAAATGCAAATTTGGCCAATTTGGGATAAATAAAGTGCGATATATTGCGTAGTTATAACAAGCGTAAAAAGCAAATTAATGTGTTCCGAATTGATTTGAGGCCAGCAATTTAGCCCTATCATCACAATAAGAGTCACTAAAAACATCCATAGTATTTTACATAGCGTGTGGGCGATGAAATGAAGAAACAATGAAAAAAAAATCTTTTTTTTTCTCAATTATTTTGTCAATTATTCAACTAAAAAAATTTCAGTCGACCTAAGTGCAGTGGTAACATATCAGTGCAGTCTTGCTTGTCATAACTGATTTGTTACTAGGAGCGAAATTTACCACTTTGTACTTAAATGGCGTGTGTGGGGGGGTGATTTTCAAAAGTAGATCTCAAATTAAAAAAACTCATTTTGTTTTATTATATTTAATTTTTTCATGTTATTACTGCTACATAGACCTTAAAAAGCAGTCGGAACATTCACCGCTACGTTTTGATACGAGCAGTCATGCTTAATGTATAATCCTTAGTTTTTGTATGGCATAAACTAGCAAAATGTAAACCTGAATGCTTTCTGGTTTCGGGTACTCAATCGGAGCTCTGACCACCACCTTGAAAACATATTTCAACACCTATTTCTGATTAGCATGACAGTTTAATGGTTAAAAAATGTGTCCAGGAAAAAAACGTGTGTGAAAATTGGCCAATTTTTGTCATATGTTTTTTAACAGATTTTTTGATAGCTCTGAAACGCTTTGGAATACTCATTACAGCAACAAAAAATATATGCGTTCAATCTAAAATTATAATCAGCAAATTTTTTTGTTTCAGCCTTGAAAAATTATATTCCTGCCTACTTTTTGAACTTCGTTGACTCAATTGGGACTCTGTTTATCTCAAATATGCCCCAAGAAATAGAGTGGGGAGCGTTTGGGGAGAAATCAATTACCTTCAAAAACATAGCAATATGCTCATTTCCAAACTCAGATGCGAAAATTTCGGACTGCAGTTCTAAACTTGTAAATACAACAGTTTTCAATAACTATTGGGCAGACAACGATTGTAGGAAAATATCAGATCCAACTATTTGTGCATTATGTTTTCTGCAACAATACAAATTCAATTATGTCGAAGACAAGGTCAAAGAGAGATGCGCTGATGCAGATGGAATTCCGCCAAGAGATGAAGATACGTGTCTATTGGGATTCATTTCCTATTCATCGGATTTTCCATATTCATCAATATATGTTTTGCTTTTTTCAACAACCCCCCTTCTCATAAACAACATTTCACTTTCACTTTTGAAAAAGAAAGCAATTCAACTTGGTAACAGAATAATCTGAAGCAAAATTGAAGCTGTGTCGAGTAGGGACATTGTTCGATTGACATAATCTAGAAACCCGAACTGACAAACATGAGCTTGAAATCGAATTAAATCGATTTTTATACAGATAAATTTGTAAGAAACCGAATTACGATAGCCCATTGAGATATGGTAATTGATGTTTAGAATGGTTTAAATTTATTTTTACGGTAAAAAAACGATTTTATTGCTTAAAAATGTTGGTAAAAACGGATTTAAATCAATTTTTATCAATTTTTTGTTTCTACTATTTGAATGAAAATAAAACTGAATTATGTTGAAAAAAAAATGGATTTAAGTCGATTGAAACCGTTTTTTAAACTACATTTTTTTGAATCAAGCTAAATCAACTTTAATTACATTAAACTCAGTTTTCTCAGATTTTTGCTACATTATCTGTACAAAATCGATTGCAACCCATTTTTTGTCAGTACTGGAAGGACCATACTCAACCCTTCGGTAGCTTCAGATTTCTCGCACCACACAACAGCCAAACTAAGTTTTAGAGATATTTGTATTATAATTTCATACAGTTTCTAGCACAAATGTGTGTCGCATTAAATATGATTACTAGGTGCATATACAAAACAGTCCCATACAAAACATTCCAATACAAAATAGTCCCAAAAATCACGAAATGAAGGGAAAAAAGTCAGTCCAACACAAAACAGTCCGGTTTCAGGTCGCCGGTGGGCGCGCTATGCGGCGATAACCGGCTCTAAATTTCGTATTAAGTCCTACCCTCTGTTGGCAAAGTACAATTCTCGGCCTACCGGCTTGTTAAAACAATTATTTACTTGGGACTGTTTTTCGGACTGTTTCGTATCGGACTGGTTTTTCGTTAATAATTAGCTATACTGTCTCCTATATTGGCAACTGAATCACAATTGATTGACACTTCCCCAGCCCTGTCTTAGGAGTGCGCCGTATACTCCCAAGAACAGTGTCTACAACCTAAATGGCATCCAAGACTACGAGAACATGACAGTCTGCGGAGACGACCGCATCACTGGCCCCACATCCCAGGCTTCATTTTTTTCCTATGGATAAAATAATTTTCAAGGCGTTTTTTCCAGGTTAAAGCACCTTAAATTTTAAGCTAAATGTAGGTAAAGATTTAAAGTATTTTTTAGGTAAGCTAAGGCGCCAAAATAAATAACTTTGAGGGGGAGCGCGCGCCAAAAATAACGCATTTTTTTGGTCAAAACGTTCAAAAAAGTGCTTAAAAACGCTTTTTTTCACCTGTTTTTTTCCTGTGCCCCCCTAGAAAAAATTTTGCGCATGCCACTGCTTAACCTACTGAACTATTACCCTCCTTTTCTTCAAAAGAGGGGGAAATTGTTAAGTAGATCCTAGAAGTAGCTACTCATTCTGATAATCTAATTTTAGTAACTATCAGGGAAAATTTTGTTTACTAGAGTTTCAATTAACTCCAATGAACTACGGCCCCGCTGAAAAGCCAAATAGGTAATAGTTTGCTGGTTTGTTCCCTCAAAAGAGCTTTGGTCCCTAAAAATCCGAGGTACACTATGTTGCTAATTCTAACAATAAGCATTTTTATTTTTATATTTTACTGTGGAAACGGGCCTAGCGGATACGAGCCCAGATGCCAACCCCAAGGCGTAGGTTCAAATCCAGGGCTGGCTCTTCTTTTTAGAAAATAGGCGGGACAAGCATCTGAACTAGTCTTTTTTTCTGTGAATGGACTATAGTTCTAAAAAAAGGACTATAGGACTATAGTTCTAAAAAAAGGGTCGTCAATTTCCGAAAATTTTGGAATTTCTGCCACCCACCCCCTCCCCTCCCTCGAGAAAATCCTAGATCCACCCCTGACGAAGAGCGTATATTTTTGACACATCAATAATCGTTTATAAGTTTTTAAAAAGTAGCCGCACTACAGGACTAACTAGAACATGCAGTTTCAACTGGGATGTGAACATTGAAAGACTACGTCTTCTACGACGTCTAGCACGACTTCACCTACAACATCGAGCACCTCGTCGCCTACAACATCATCTACAACATCGAGCACCTCGTCGCCTACAACATCATCTACAACATCGAGTACCTCGTCCCCTACGACATCTAGCACAACTTCTAGCACGACATCGGCTACTACATCGAGTACCTCGTCGCCTACAACATCATCTACAACATCGAGTACCTCGTCGCCTACAACATCATCTACAACATCGAGTACCTCGTCGCCTACAACATCATCTACAACATCGAGCACCTCGTCGCCTACGACATCATCTACAACATCGAGTACCTCGTCACCCACAACATCATCTATAACATCGAGTACCTCGTCGCCTACGTCATCATCCACAACATCGAGTACTTCGTCGCCTACAACATCATCTACAACATCGAGTACCTCGTCGCCTACAACATCATCTACAACATCGAGCACCTCGTCGCCTACAACATCATCTACAACCTCGAGTACCTCGTCTCCTACGACATCTAGCACAACTTCTAGCACGACATCGGCTACTACATCGAGTACCTCGTCGCCTACAACATCATCTACAACTTCGAGTACTTCGTCGCCTACAACATCATCTACAACTTCGAGTACCTCGTCGCCTACAACATCATCTACAACATCGAGTACCTCGTCGCCCACGACATCTAGCACAACTTCTAGTACGACATCGTCTACTACATCGAGTACCTCGTCGCCTTCAACATCGTCTACAACATCGAGTACATCGTCGCCTACAACATCATCTACAACTTCGAGTACCTCGTCGCCTACAACATCATCTACAACATCGAGCACCTCGTCGCCTACGACATCATCTACAACATCGAGTACCTCGTCACCCACAACATCATCTATAACATCGAGTACCTCGTCGCCTACGTCATCATCTACAACATCGAGTACTTCGTCGCCTACAACATCATCTACAACATCGAGTACCTCGTCGCCTACAACATCATCTACAACTTCGAGTACTTCATCGCCTACAACATCATCTACAACTTCGAGTACCTCGTCGCCTACAACATCATCTACAACATCGAGTACCTCGTCGCCCACGACATCTAGCACAACTTCTAGTACGACATCGTCTACTACATCGAGTACCTCGTCGCCTACAACATCATCTACAACATCGAGTACATCATCGCCTACAACATCATCTACAACTTCGAGTACTTCGTCACCTACAACATCATCTAGCACATCGAGTACCTCGTCGTCTACCACATCATCTACAACATCGAGTACCTCGTCGCCTACGACATCTAGCACAACTTCTAGTACGACATCGTCTACTACATCGAGTACCTCGTCGCCTACAACATCATCTACAACATCGAGTACCTCGTCGCCTACGTCATCATCTACAACATCGAGTACCTCGTCGCCCACAACATCATCTATAACATCGAGTACCTCGTCGCCTACGACATCATCTACAACTTCGAGTACCTCGTCGCCTACAACATCATCTACAATTTCGAGTACTTCGTCGCCTACAACATCATCTACAACTTCGAGTACCTCATCGCCTACGACATCTAGCACAACTTCTAGTACGACATCGTCTACTACATCGAGTACCTCGTCGCCTACAACATCATCTACAACATCAAGTACATCGTCGCCTACAACATCATCTACAACTTCGAGTACTTCTTCGCCTACAACATCATCTACAACATCGAGTACCTCGTCGCCTACGACATCATCTTCAACTTCGAGTACCTCGTCGCCTACAACATCATCTACAACATCGAGCACCTCGTCGCCTACGATATCATCAAAAACATCGAGTACTTCGTCGCCTACAACATCATCTACAACTTCGAGTACCTCGTCGCCTACGACATCTAGCACAACTTCTAGTACGACATGGTCTACTACATCGAGTACCTCGTCGCCTACAACATCATCTACAACATCGAGTACATCGTCGCCTACAACATCATCTACAACTTCGAGTACTTCTTCGCCTACAACATCATCTACAACATCGAGCAGCTCGTCGCCTACGACATCATCAACAACATCGAGTACTTCGTCGCCTACAACATCATCTACAACTTCGAGTACCTCGTCGCCTACAACATTATCTACAACATCGAGTACCTGGTCGCCTATAACATCATCTACGACATCGAGTACCTCTTCGCCTACAACTTCATCTAGAACTTCGAGTACCTTGTCGCCTACAGCGTCATCTACAACATCGATTACCTCGTTGCCTACGACATCTAGCACCTTTTCTAGTATGACATCGTCTGCTAAACCGAGTAGCCATTGGCCTATAAGGTTTACTACAACACCGAGTACTTCGTCGCGTACTACAACCAGCACGACATCATCAATAACATCGAGTACCTCATCACCTGCAAAATCGCCTACAACATCGAGTACATCCTCGCCTACAACATCTAGCAACTTTTCTAGTACGACATCGTCTGCTTCAACGATTAGCTCATGGCCTACAACATCATCTACCACATCGAGTACTTCGTCGCGTACTACATCCAGCACGACATCTGGCACGACATCATCAACAACATCGAGTACCTCAACGCCTACAACACCATCTACAAAATCGACTACCTCGTCGCCTACTAAGTCCTCTTCATTATCGGGTACATTGTCACCTACGACATCCAATACGACTTCTAGCACGACAGCATCGAAAACAACAAAAACCTTGTCGAACTCATCGGAAGCGTTCACAGCAAGCAATGACAATTTGAATGGTTAGTTAATCAAACATTAATTCAACAAGACAAAACATTCAAAAGAAAAAGCGTTTCTTTCATGAAATACAAAATGATCTCAAAAATGATCTCTTTCGTGCTCCCGCCTGCCATGTAAACTTGATAAAATTTGGATAAATTGCAGGCAAAGAACAGTAACTTTTGCTTGCTTTGTTTGTCAAAAAATTTAATCAAAAATGGAGTTTTGGCACGCTTCCGCAAGCATTTTCAGGCAACGCACAGGATGCCTGTTCTTAGTAAAATGAAAATTTGAATGAATATCTTGTAAGTATTGCTATAAGTAATAAGTTTTATTTTTAAAATATTTCATAAGAACATGAATTCTGCTGTAAAATTTTAACAGAACGATTTCTGGTGTAAAAATATTTAGAAAAAACTATCTTAAGAAATTTGGATGAGGTAATGTCAATTTAACGCCTCTAGCTCCTCAAAAGAAGCCACTGCCCCCCCCCCCCGTAAATATTGGCTAATTTTTGTATACTAATTTTTGTTGTTTGATAAGCATTAGCTCAACCAGGGGCGGATTTAGGGGGGGGGGGGGGCGGACGCCCCCCCTCAGGGATTTGACCCCCTGCCGACCCAAAGGGTCCCCCCTTTGATACTTTTTCAGAAATCCATTTTTGGCCGACCGACCCTAAAATTTTTCTAAAGGCGCCTTCGGCGCCAATATATGCTATTTTTTAGGGGGAGCGCGCGCCAAAAAAACGCATTTTTTTTGTCAAAATTTTTCAAAAAGTGCCCAAAAACGGCTTTTTTGACTCTTTTTTTCAAAAACTTGCCTGCGGTGCAGAAAATTTAGCCAACCAAAATAGGGGCAAAACAGTGCTTTGGGAGAGCGAAAAATAAAAATCAATTTGGTCGACCTAAAAAAAAAAAAAAAAAAAGGTCGTCAAAATTTTGGAAAATTTTTTGAAAATCCGCCCCCCCCTCGAGAAAATCCTAGATCCGCCCCTGAGCTCAACGATTAGCTCATACATTTATGTGTGTTGCGACGTTCCCAAAAATGCGGATAGTTTGTGCTCGCGGTAGTTTTTTTTTTCCAGACAAATGCGACTTTTTAACTAGTATGTTTTGGCAAAATTTTGTAACAGTCTCTACGGTACGGATGCTCAGGGCATTTCACCAAATTCTGTTGAGCTTTTATCGTTTCAGTTTGAGATAGTGTTGACGACTATAGTTTGGCGCACAGAAAATTTGGCCAAAAACAATCCAGTCAATTTAAAATTCATATAGTTCAGCCAAAAAGACACACATGCCAGACAGTGTAGATTTAAAGGGTTATATTCCAAAACTGAGGAGAAAGAGTAACTTTTGGTGTAATATCACTGTTGTGCGTCGAAAACCAACTTTACTTTCCATGGAGTACTGCCATCTGTTGTCACGCTCCAAACATGTTATGAATTTTAGGAAGTAACTCTATATTTTGTTGTAATTTCCATATATTCTAAAAAATTATTTTAAGCTAATGAAAATGTGGCCGCCAGAGTTGAATTTCTGAAAATCGAAATGGGGGGGGGGGATTGTTAAAAAGATCCGTGATTTTTTGTTCAGACCAAAATCCAATATAAGATTTGCTGAGTGCTGGGATTGATCCTGGGATCTGAAGGTCAAGAATTTACTCACCTTGCTCGACGATCGCTCTAATTACACTGATCGATTAAAATGGTGATGTTGAAATTTTATATAATTGTGCGAAATTGATTGGAGGCAAGCTGACTGGCCATATTAATTCGAAATACGACTCAAATATTGTTCATAAAATTTGGGTACTACTATGATAGAGTGGTCCCTTGAAAATAACCAGGTCTCTTGAGAATAAGACACCTAGCCCGGGTTGACCAAAAATGGTAGTCATGTAATTTTCATTATGGAAAAATGATAATCATACACTTTTCATACAATTCCATAAGTACAGAAAATTGCACGAACGGTCAATGATTAGTGATTTTTCGTTGTGTTCGTAACCGACAACAAATGGTATAAGCGATGGTTACTCAAACGTAGTAGCCAAAGGTTTGGCCATCTCGCATTAAGAATGCATTGGAAACAGCCTGGAGGCATACAAAAACATGCCACGCGAAAGTAGTAGCCAAAGGTTTGGCCATCTCGCTTTATGAATGCATTGAAAACAGTCTCACACAAATAACATAAGGAAGAATCAAACTTTTAAATTTTGGCAAAAATTTTCCAAGATGTTTATTTCTAAAATTTGAATTTTTAAATTACCAGATAATGATCAAGGCATACAAAAACATGCCACGCAAAAGAAACAGGAATCTCAAGCTTTTTTGAAAAAGGTTAGTAGGAGAAAACCATAAAACCAATAAAAAATGTGTGTTGCGACGTTCCCAAAAATGCGGAATGTTTGTGCTCGCGGTAGTTTTTTTCCCAGACAAATGCGACTTTTTAACTAGTATGTTTTGGCAAAATTTTGTAACAGTCTCTATGGTACGTATGCTCAGGGCATTTCACCAAATTCTGTTGAGCTTTTATCGTTTCAGTTTGAGATAGTGTTGACGACTATAGTTTGGGGCACAGAAAATTTGGCCAAAAACAATCCGGTCAATTTAAAATTCATATAGTTCAGCCAAAAAACACACATGCCAGTCAGTGTAGATTCAAAGGGTTATATTCAAAAACTGAGGAGAAAGAGTAGCTTTTGGTGTAATATCACTGTTGTGCGTCGAAAACCGACTTTACTTTCTATGGAGTACTGCTATCTGTTGTCACGCTCCAAACATGTTATGAATTTTAGGAAGTAACTCTATATTTTGTTGTAATTTCTATAATTTCTAAAAAATTGTTTTAAGCTATTGAAAACGTGGCCTCCAGAATTGAATTTCTGAAAATCGAAATGGGGGGGGGGGATTGTTAACAAGATCCGTGATTTTTTGTTCAGACCAAAATCCAATATAAGACTTGCTGAGTGCTGGGATTGATCCTGGGATCTGAAGGTCAAGAATTTACTCACCTTGCTCGACGATCGCTCTAATTGCACTGATCGATTAAAATGGTGATGTTGAAATTGTATATAATTGTGCGAAATTGATTGGAGGCAAGCTGACTGGCCATATTAATTCGAAATACGACTCAAATATTGTTCATAAAAATTGGGTACTACTATGATAGAGTGGTCCAATGAAAATAACCAGGTCTCTTGAGAATAAGACACCTAGCCCGGGTTGACCAAAAATGGTAGTCATGTAATTTTCATTATGGAAAAATGATAATCATACACTTTTCATACAATTCCATAAGTACAGAAAATTGCACGAACGGTCAATGATTAGTGATTTTTCGTTGTGTTCGTAACCGACCACAAATGATATAAGCGATGTTTACTCAAACGTAGTAGCCAAAGGTTTGGCCATCTCGCATTAAGAATGCATTGGAAACAGCCTGGAGGCATACAAAAACATGCCACGCGAAAGTAGTAGCCAAAGGTTTGGCCATCTCGCTTTATGAATGCATTGAAAACAGTCTCACACAAATAACATAAGGAAGAATCAAACTTTTAAATTTTGGCAAAAATTTTCCAAGATGTTTATTTCTAAAATTTGAATTTTTAAATTACCAGATAATGATCAAGGCATACAAAAACATGCCACGCAAAAGAAACAGGAATCTCAAGCTTTTTTGAAAAAGGTTAGTAGGAGAAAACCATAAAACCAATAAAAAATGTGTGTTGCGACGTTCCCAAAAATGCGGAATGTTTGTGCTCGCGGTAGTTTTTTTTCCCAGACAAATGCGACTTTTTAACTAGTATGTTTTGGCAAAATTTTGTAACAGTCTCTATGGTACGTATGCTCAGGGCATTTCACCAAATTCTGTTGAGCTTTTATCGTTTCAGTTTGAGATAGTGTTGACGACTATAGTTTGGCGCACAGAAAATTTGGCCAAAAACAATCCGGTCAATTTAAAATTCATATAGTTCAGCCAAAAAAACACACATGCCAGTCAGTGTAGATTCAAAGGGTTATATTTAAAAACTGAGGAGAAAGAGTAACTTTTGGTGTAATATCACTGTTGTGCGTCGAAAACCGACTTTACTTTCTATGGAGTACTGCTATCTGTTGTCACGCTCCAAACATGTTATGAATTTTAGCAAGTAACTCTATATTTTGTTGTAATTTCTATAATTTCTAAAAAACTGTTTTAAGCTATTGAAAACGTGGCCTCCAGAATTGAATTTCTGAAAATCGAAATGGGGGGGATTGTTAACAAGATCCGTGATTTTTTGTTCAGACCAAAATCCAATATAAGATTTGCTGAGTGCTGGGATTGATCCTGGGATCTGAAGGTCAAGAATTTACTCACCTTGCTCGACGATCTCTCTAATTACACTGATCGATTAAAATGGTGATGTTGAAATTTTATATAATTGTGCGAAATTGATTGGAGGCAAGCTGACTGGCCATATTAATTCGAAATACGACTCAAATATTGTTCATAAAATTTGGGTACTACTATGATAGAGTGGTCCCTTGAAAATAACCAGGTCTCTTGAGAATAAGACACCTAGCCCGGGTTGACCAAAAATGGTAGTCATGTAATTTTCATTATGGAAAAATGATAATCATACACTTTTCATACAATTCCATAAGTACAGAAAATTGCACGAACGGTCAATGATTAGTGATTTTTCGTTGTGTTCGTAACCGACAACAAATGATATAAGCGATGGTTACTCAAACGTAGTAGCCAAAGGTTTGGCCATCTCGCATTAAGAATGCATTGGAAACAGCCTGGAGGCATACAAAAACATGCCACGCGAAAGTAGTAGCCAAAGGTTTGGCCCTTTCGCTTTATGAATGCATTGAAAACAGTCTCACGCAAATAACATAAGGAAGAATCAAACTTTTAAATTTTGGCAAAAATTTTCCAAGATGTTTATTTCTAAAATTTGAATTTTTAAATTACCAGATAATGATCAAGGCATACAAAAACATGCCACGCAAAAGAAACAGGAATCTCAAGCTTTTTTGAAAAAAGTTAGTAGGAGAAAACCATAAAACCAATAAAAAAGGTGTGTTGCGACGTTCCCAAAAATGCGGAATGTTTGTGCTCGCGGTAGTTTTTTTTCCCAGACAAATGCGACTTTTTAACTAGTATGTTTTGGCAAAATTTTGTAACAGTCTCTATGGTACGTATGCTCAGGGCATTTCACCAAATTCTGTTGAGCTTTTATCGTTTCAGTTTGAGATAGTGTTGACGACTATAGTTGGGCGCACAGAAAATTTGGCCAAAAACAATCCGGTCAATTTAAAATTCATATAGTTCAGCCAAAAAAACACACATGCCAGTCAGTGTAGATTCAAAGGGTTATATTCAAAAACTGAGGAGAAAGAGTAGCTTTTGGTGTAATATCACTGTTGTGCGTCGAAAACCGACTTTACTTTCTATGGAGTACTGCTATCTGTTGTCACGCTCCAAACATGTTATGAATTTTAGGAAGTAACTCTATATTTTGTTGTAATATCTATAATTTCTAAAAAATTGTTTTAAGCTATTGAAAACGTGGCCTCCAGAATTGAATTTCTGAAAATCGAAATGGGGGGGATTGTTAACAAGATCCGTGATTTTTTGTTCAGACCAAAATCCAATATAAGATTTGCTGAGTGCTGGGATTGATCCTGGGATCTGAAGGTCAAGAATTTACTCACCTTGCTCGACGATCGCTCTAATTGCACTGATCGATTAAAATGGTGATGTTGAAATTGTATATAATTGTGCGAAATTGATTGGAGGCAAGCTGACTGGCCATATTAATTCGAAATACGACTCAAATATTGTTCATAAAAATTGGGTACTACTATGATAGAGTGGTCCAATGAAAATAACCAGGTCTCTTGAGAATAAGACACCTAGCCCGGGTTGACCAAAAAGTGTAGTCATGTAATTTTCATTATGGAAAAATGATAATCATACACTTTTCATACAATTCCATAAGTACAGAAAATTGCACGAACGGTCAATGATTAGTGATTTTTCGTTGTGTTCGTAACCGACCACAAATGATATAAGCGATGTTTACTCAAACGTAGTAGCCAAAGGTTTGGCCATCTCTTATTAAGAATGAATTGGAAACAGCCTGGGGGCATACAAAAACAAGTTGAAATTGTATCACACAAATAACATAAGGAAGAATCAAACTTTTAAATTTTGGCAAGATGTTTATTTCTAAAAGTTGAATTTTTAAATTACCAGATATTGATCAAGGCATACAAAAACATGCCACGCAAAAGAAAGAGGAATCTTAAGCTTTTTTGAAAAAGGTTAGTAGGAGAAAACGAAAAAAAAATCAATATTAGTATATCCAGGACTACGTTAAACACACAAAAAAAAATTAAATTTTGCATGCAAATTTTTTTTTTCAAAAATTGTTTGTTTGAGTACGAAAATTAATTTGCGGTTGAAAAAAAAACACAAAAAAATTTTCGGCAGCAATTTCAAAAATACTTGCTTTTTTTTTAGTACGATACACCGAATTTTAAGCCAGAACAAGAGAAAAGTTCTTCGAAAATTCGATGACACCATTTTGCCAAAATGTATGAAATTTGTATGATTAGTATTTTTTCATAGATTTAGTTTATGGAATTGTATGACTAGCATTTGTGGTCTATGGAGGTCAACCCGGTAGAGCTCTCAAATCTATTAATAATTATAATTGCGCCTTTCAGAAAGATGTCGCAGTATATTTTCAATTAAATTTCATGGTTTGTTACCTCTTAAAACCTCCCCCTCACCATTTTAAGGTTGAAAATAAAAAAGCGCCAATAATAGGTTTTGATGACAAATAATTCAACCCAATTATATGGTTGTTAAACCGTAAAATAAAGTAAAGCGAGCAAATTTCAATATATTAGCAATAGTGATTACAATTTTCAATCAGAAAAGTTTCTGGCTGAACATATTTTGCAAGATTTTTGAAATGAATAATTTATACACAAATTAGTTTTCAAACTTATAACGAGAATGATGAGAAATGCATGCGGGACCTGTCTATCATAGTTGCTTTTTCGAGGGACCACTCTATCATAGTAGTACCAAACTTTGATATTATTAGCTCAAAACTCATAATTTGACGATTTCTTATATCGAAAACTTTTTGAGACCAATTAAAGGGCAGTCGGGCTTTGCCCTAATATAAGAGCAGTCTGTCAAGGTAGTATTAAATATAAATATTAAATATAGTCATTAAATATAATCTTTGCAATGTCAGGGTAGTTTTTTCAACGTCTGGGAATAAGATAAAATTAGTTTTTGTCGTGCTATTTTATTTTTTCAAATACTTAGCTTCTATATTCGTAATATATAAACTTAAACTTGAGCATGCGTTGTTTAGTTAGCGAAGTATCTGGAAATAAGGACACAATTTTCAGCCCAGGAGTTCAGATAAATCGCAGTTCACTGGACTATGATGACTACCATGTCAACAGCCGGCATGCACTTCGCCCACGTCTAATTTCTCTCACTCTAACTAGCTTAAAACTATTCGCTGCAGTCAATCAACTAAATAGTAAACCTAATTGAAATGGTGCTTTTTTATTATGAATTGTATGACTGATACACTATTTAAAATTTGATTTCAGGGCTAAGACTGAATTCATTTAATATTACTAAATTTGAAATGCAGTTGTTTGTAGTTTAAAAATCTATAGTTTATTTAAAACCCTATGATAATAAACATTTACAAAGAATTATCGATTGATCAAAACAAGCATTTGGATTATCCTTATTTTCATGTAAAATTTCTTGTAGAAAAGCGGCTGATACCTTTTTCACTTCTCATGTAAACATAGCCAACAGACAGTTGGAAAAGAGTTAATTAACACAGTAAATCAAAAAAGTACTGACTTGTTATTTGATAAAATCTCAACTTTCGAATTTCCAAAAAACAAATAGGTGGCCTTGAAGTTTTTTGAATTTCTAGAACAACTTATGATTGAATTTATTGTTTCGCAAGGAAATCTGATTGTTAAATTCCTTTTCCAAAATTAGAAGTCGATGTGGACAAAATTGAGTGAACAAAGTTAAGGAAAAATTCACGATTTGAGTCTCTAAAATGTCTGTTTTCAATGTTAATTTTAGACATTTTCTTCGAAATTCAGTAAAACTTAGACTAAGAGCAAATGATCAGAGCTACCCTCTATGAAACTATCAAAATTTGTTTTCAAAAGTTTACCAATGAAATCCGAGTCTGAAAATGCCAGTTTTCCTCACTGATTCTTCTCAATTTCTCGGTGAGAATGTTTGACGCCGCATGAACATCTTTTTACTATGCTTATTCGAGAAAGAATTCACTACGAAGCAAAATTTAGTACAATTGAAAAAAATTGGCATTTTCAGACCCGGATTACATTGAGTCTTTGAAATCAAACTTTGATAATTTCAGAGGGTAGCTCTAATCATTTGTTTTTAAACTGTGTAAAAATGTTACTGAGCTTCGAAGGAAACGTTGTCCAAACTAGACATTGAAATCAAGTATTTAGAGAGTAAAATCCTGAATTTGCGTTTATTTTTATCAATTAGTGTAAATCGATAGCAGTATTCTTCGGATTCATTTGGCAAAAACAAATGTGTTTCTTCACAGCAACCGGTCATAACAACTTATTGAAAATGAAAACTTTTGTATGTATTTTTCATAATCAAATTTGAAAAATTAGAGTTGCCCAACAAAAAGTTTTCACAAATTTTTTTATAGCAGCCAAGTTTTTGACATTAATTTTGCACAATAAGCAATTTCGCATTCGCTTAGCATTACGAGGCCAAATTGTGCATTGGACCGATGCGCAATTTTGTGTCTGTACGTACCTGGATTCCAGAGACAATTCTTTATACAAATTCCAAAAAGTAAGTGGGTTCTACTCAAGGGTGGATCAAAGAAAAGCAGAAATGTTGCGGACTCCGCGACAAAAAAATGGATCAAAGAAAAATAGCAATATTGCGGAATCCGAGACAAATCTGATTTTGGTCTCTTGCGGAATCCGCCTACAATACACAGTTCAATCTAATAAAGATATGATAAAAATTGCACAATATTGTTTTTATCACATATGATACGCATATCAGTTTGTTAAAATTTTCTTTAGTTTTCTTATCGGACTTAGCCCAAAAAATGAGGACAAAAACGTATTGCAATTCGACAAAATAAACATGTTTGAAAAATTTAACGTTTTCAGGAGACTGAAAACTGAAAAAGTCAATTTACAAATGAAGAAAGCAATTTTCCGAGATAAACACAAATCCCGTTGTTTGGGCAAGGATATTCACTCTAGTCTATCAATTAGGCAAAACTGAGGTTGCTTTGCCCAATGTTTAGAAAGAGATCAAATTATCTCTATTCAAAAAACTGAAACACACTTCGAATTGAATAATTTTCAATCCAAGACTTTATTTTCAAATATTACAAAATTTTAGAAAAATACCATTCGGCTAAATAAGTGTTTTTTTTTCACACAAAAAATACCCAAATTAGCCGTTGCACTACACAAATTCTGCATCAAACGCAGCACAGTTGAAGCGTTGAATATGATCGTAGTTTATTAACTAAATCTTAGAAATTTTCTTGAAAGTTCATTGCTTGTTGATCTTTAAACAGATTTCAAGAACGTTTCTATAAAGTAGCTAGTCACAAGGAAAAAATGAACTAAAAACGGATTACTTAATTTCCGAAACAAATTGAAAAAAAAACTCTCAACGCAATCATGAAACAAAAAAGTAGAATTAAATAAAAAAAATTCAGACTTAAACTTAAATCAGGAGGAAGCATCACCCAATCTCAAACAAAACCCATTCTCAAACACAAAAGGAAACAGCAAAAAAACAATAAAAAAAATGACTACACAAAATCAAAAACTTGAAACCAGGGGTCATTTTTTCAATTTGTTATTTTGAATTAGACAAAAAAGTGATCGAGGAAATACTGACTTCAATTAAGGATACACTGACTTCTACTGTCGATCAATCTAAGACAGTTCTGCATGAATTACGGGATCTCTACATATCTGGATACTTCAACGAATACTCAAATTTTTTCGGAAATCAAGTATCCAATTGTTTTTAGCTTGTTTCCTTGTGCCTGCTCAATGGGAAATTCACTGTTTTTGGGGTTCTTCTAATAAAAGATTTTTTTCTCAAGTTAAAAAAAGTTTGTATGTTCTTGGCAAATTGTTCATTTTTTGAAAAAGAATATTGTTCTTACTTTTGGAATAAAGCGGAATATTCAAGCTTGCTGTGATTTTCTTATTCAATCAGTTTTCATCGCCTTAATTAAACATTCGTGACAGATTTTTTTATAACATATGCAAGAAATTGTTGTCCTGAGCTCAATGAAAACAAATTTTACCTGTGATCATTTTTCGCAAACTGAGTTTAAAAATTGCTAACGCGCGATTTGATACGTTGATATAACATGCTAAAATGGTAAATAAAATTGGTCTTATTTTTTTTGGTCTAATGCGGCCTTAATGCTCAAATAATTGCCTTTGTAAATGAAAACATAGTCAATCGAAGATTTTAAAAAAGTAATGAAAGCAATTAAACAAAAAATAAAACACTGACTTTGAAAAAACTTTCCAAACTTCAACGAGAAAATAGCTGCCCTTTGAGCTCTTTTGAATTTTTACATTGATTTTTGATTGGTGCTTTTTTTTGATGACAATAACCTAATATGAGAAAAATTACACAATTACGAATACGTAATATTGAATTCAAATTTGATGAACTTGATGGCAACCAATTCAATTCTACTGCAATTTTATGGTATTACAGCAATAATTAACACTTTTTCCTGTAGAATTTAATGTAATTCATTGCTTTTTGTTCAAAAACAACAATAAAAAAATTATATTTTGAATTCGATTTTTTTTCAATTTTTCAAAATTTTAAGATATAAAACATAGCCAATCGAAGATTGGAAACGAGTAATGAAAGCAAGTAAACATAAAAAACAGTGATTTGTTCCTCAATTTCCAAATTTAAAAAATAGGCGGCCTTTGATTTTCTGAATAATTTATGATTTGTGCTTTTTCGATAGCAATCAAGAAAACTGGATCAATAGCTGAAGTTTCTATTCCGCTGAAAGTCTAAAAACTAATTTCTACTTTCGAGACTAGAAATCCATCCCGTTTTTTCACGCCATTTCCACGTTCGTATTTGGGGAGGGCTATTTACGTCACTCTCAGTAGATGAAGTTCAACTGAGGTCAAAAAGTGCTTTTATACCCAAGTGCATCAATTTTTTGAATTTTTCCAGAGAAAAAAAAACAAAAAAAATCAGCAATACAGGAGTTTCACTACGTTTATTACTCTTAAAAAATTCATTTTTCAATTTTTGTGACCATTATTAAAGCAAAATATAATTAGTGGCTGTTAGCTGCGGTTGCAACATTCAGTAACTCGTCCTGATATATGACCAGTCTTGTTTTTTTCTCAAAATTTTTTGATGTGTAATATAAAATTGCAACGCTAGTTTTGAGCAGAAAAAGTCCTCAAAAACCCATTGTCGCCACACATCTTGATGCAGCCGTATGTCAAATTTTTGTTCCTTTTCTATCAAAGCCACAGTCTCTAGTTCATTTTTGCTATGGGTGCCTTTTGCTTCTAGTTCTCGGCACTTTTGAAAATTTAATTTGTACTGAACCATAGTGATTGCGCATGAACCAGGAGATCGTTAGTTTGCTCACCAAATTTTGAGCGTTCATGCAGCCTCCAAGGTTATTGAAAGAAATAATGCGTCTTGCATATAGGTTATTAATTTAGACTGAATACCCGCCTGGCCTTTCTGACCTTGAGAAATCAAGGGACCGGGTTTTCAGACAACTGTCGATACTTTAACTGGCTACTTTTTAGCAAAGTTTTGAAACTTTTCACGGGATCTGAAAACACTGAAGCCTTGCTCAAATTCACAAAGATAATTTATCTGATCAATTTTCATAAAATTATTGTTATTTGAGAACTTATGACAATTAACGCGCGATAACTTCGAGCCTTTAAGGCGTGAGAGGCGATTTATTCCGGTTAGAAATTGCTCTAAATTACATCTTTCTGTACTTAAATAGCGTGTTGGTAAAAAATTTTCATCTGAAACAAAATCAAATGAGATTATCAAAAACCATTCGGGAGCATCCGAACTGGTCTTTCACTTATTCCGCCCAATATATTTTTTTAAATTTGCGAAGTCTTTGTATGAATGGTTTCAAAATAGACATAACAACAACTTCATTCCTCGGTTTTTGCTTGCTGTGATTTTCTTATTCAATCAGTTTTCGGCGCCTCAATTAAACATTCGTGACAGATTTTTTTATAACATATGCAAGAAATTGTTGTCCTGAGCTCAATAAAAACAAATTTTACCTGTGATCATTTTTCGCAAACTGAGTTTGAAAATTGCTAACGCGCGATTTGATACGTTGATATAACATGCTAAAATGGTAAATATAATTGGTCTTATTTTTTTGGTCTAATGCGGTCTTCATGCTCAAATAATTGCCTTTCTAAATGAAAACATAGCCAATCGAAGATTTTAAAAAAGTAATGAAAGCAATTAAACAAAAAATGAAACACTGACTTTGAAAAAACTTTCCAAACTTCAACGAGAAAATAGCTGCCCTTTGAGCTCTTTTGAATTTTTAGATTGATTTTTGATTGGTGCTTTTTTTTATGACAATAACCTAATATGAGAAAAATTACACAATTACGAATACGTAATATTGAATTCAAATTTGATGAACTTGATGGCAACCAATTCAATTCTACTGCAATTTTATGGTATTTCAGCAATAATTAACCCTTTTTCCTGTAGAATTTAATGTAACTCATTGCTTTTTGTTCAAAAACAACGGGAAAAAATTTTTTATTTTGAATTCGATTTTGTTTTTCAATTTTTTAAAATTTTAAACTATAAACCATAGCCAATCGAAAATTGGAAAGGAGTAATGAAAGCAAGTAAACATAAAAAACAGTGATTTGTGTTAAAAACTTCAATTTCCGACTTTAAAAAATATGCGCCCATTGATTTTTTTGAATAATTTATGATTTGTGCTTTTCTGATAGCATTAAATCAAGAAAACTGGATCAATAGCTGAAGTTTTTATTCCGCTGAAAATCTAAAAACTAAAATCTGCTTTCGAGACTAGAAATCCATCCCGTTTTTTCACGCCATTTCCACGTTCGTATTTGGGAGGATTATTTACGTCACTCTCAGCAGATGAAGTTCAACTGAGGTCAAAAAGTGCTTATATACCCAAGTGCATCAATTTTTTGACTTTTTCCAGAGAAAAAAAACAAAAAAAATCAGCAATACAGGAATTTCACTACGTTCATTACTCTTAAAAAATTCATTTTTCAATTTTTGTGTCCATTATTAACATTATTAAAGAAAATATAATTAGTGGCTGTTAGCTGCGGTTGCAACATTCAGGAACTCGTCCTGATATATGACCAGTCTTGTTTTTTTCTCAAAATTTTTTGATGTGTAATATAAAATTGCAACGCTAGTACTGGGCAGAAAAAGTCCTCAAAAACCCATTGTCGCCACACATCTTGATGCAGCATGGCCTTTCTGACCATGAGAAATCAAGCGACCGGGTTTTCAGACAACTTTCGATACTTTAACTGGTTACTTTTTAGCAAAGTTTCGAAACTTTTCACGTGATCTGAAAACACTGAAGCCTAGCTCAAATTCACAAAGATAATTTATCTGATCAGTTTTCATAAAATTATTGTTATTTGAGAACTTATGACAAATAACGCGCGATAACTTCGAGCCTTTAAGGCGATTTATTCCGGTTAGAAATTGCTCTAAATTACATCTTTCTGTACTTAAATAGCGTGTTGGTAAAAAAATTTCATCTGAAACAAAATCAAATGAGATTATCAAAAACCATTCGGGAGCATCCGAACTGGTCTTTCACTTATTCCGCCCAATATATTTTTTTAAATTTGCGAAGTCTTTGTATAAATGGTTTCAAAATAGACATCATAACAACTTCAATTCTCGGTTTTTGCTGCGGTCAAGTTGTTCTGTGAAGCGATGTTGTTTGATCACATTGCCAATTTGAAGCAGTATTAGAATAGCTTTCCCGAAGAACGAAATTATATCATGCTGTAGTAGGCATGTAGTGTAAGTGTGAACAAAACGGCATTTTTACATGCAAATGGAAGTATGAACAAATTTTAGGCAACTTCAAATCGTAGTTTAACGCCGGGGGGGGGGGGGGGGGGGAGTAAAATTATTTGTCCAAATTTTCGGATCGCCTATGTTGGCATTACAAAACCGTAGACGTTCCATTAGATACTTTTAGGCTCAACTCGTTTTTTATAATCACGACCTTTACAAACGATTATGAGTGCATATTTAAAAAAAAACACTCTTATACAAGACAGTCCAAAAACATCTGAATTTTTTTCAGTTTTTTATTGAGGCTCTAACAGAGTTCATTAGCGCTTTGAAATATCAAACATGAGCGTAAGTTAAGACAAAAAATCAAATAATAAATCATATGAACATCAAAGGGGTCAAAGTATAATGAATAATGAGTTACACTCAACCCTTAAGAGTTCAAAGGATCAAATCCCAGCGGCGCAAAAAACTTTTGTATAAAAATGCGCTCAACCTTAGAGAGTTGGCTGATGGAAATGTAAAATCAACTACTAGTTTGTGTACATTATTTTACCGGTTTAAAACAGGTTCTAGCTCAATTTTGAATAATCGAGGAAAATAAATGAACTTGGCAAAGTTTTTACTGCTTAGCAATGCTAACCAAATTCAAAACTTAAAACAAAACAACAAGTTTATATCTCAAATTTTTAATTCGCTTTTCAAAAACCGAATGATATTATTGGTTGGTATGATCTTATCATAATAATTGAAACTTCGTTTTTGACGTTTTTGGGTTTAGTCACTTTTTGCCTAAACAAATTTCAATTTTCTTTTGTTCATCCTTGAACTTCTGAATGAGTTTCGTGAGGGAAGGGTGCTTTCTGTTGACTGGATTTACCAAATTGTGGTTCAACCCTTCTACAGCGTTTATGGTGCGGGTAAAATTATTTGTACTTTTTGATGGCAGCTCTATTGTTATGTCAAACCTGGGTTACTCTTGCCCTTGAGAAGTAAATTTACAAATATATCTCAAAGCAGGAGGAACGCCTTCCATGGGCAAAACCGTCGTTGAGAAAAGCATTCGAATAAACTAACGAAACTTAAGATCTGTATTATGAAAATTTGTGTTGCCTGACGATTGAACGTGTCGCCAGACGGTTTGACTCGTATGAAATAAAAACTGAATAAAAGCACACTAAGGTGTAGCTGTTGAATTCCAAACCCATTTCGCATTAGCAGTAACGCATTTCGGTTACTTAAATAATATAATATTAAAGAGGAGATATAACTTTGCTTCCTTTTTGTTGGAAAGCCGAGCGTAAACAAGAAGTATACGGCATCTTTCAACTGAAGCCTGCAATAGATTTGTTGAAAGAAAATTGGAGCTGCCGAAAACGCTCCATCTTTCAAAAACCATAATACTCATCATCCAAGAGAATTATGCAGATCAGCTTATGGAACAATTGTCACATCCATCAATTCGGACTGTTTTGCGGACAGTTTTTGAGACTGTTTTAAAATGTTTCGTTTTTGGATTTTGATATGATTTGTCGGACTAATTTGTGGTGGACTTTTTTGTACAGACACGTTGACTATTCTATGTTTATTTGATATTACAGAAGCTCAGTGTCCTTTCCGAAAGAGAACAAACTATCGCGTCTGATGTTTTACATTTAAAAAATATTTTATTTATTTGAAATTCTTGTCAATCAGAGTAAGTTCCCAAATTAGAATTAATTTTACAAAGCCAAGTTATTTAACCGGTAGTAGTTGCAAAGCAGCAAGAGTTAGTTCAGTTTTCGACACTATGAAAAGAAACTCTAAATAAAGTATGCATCAATCCTGTCATGGTCAAATAGGCATTAATAAAAAAGCACCTTTTGTATTTACTATGCTATAAATTCAAATGTGACTTCTATATGATTTCGGGTACATTCACACGTCAAAATCTTATGGCAAACTTTTGCCACCAAAAATGAAATCTTAAGCAGGCTATACTAAAACGAACAACTAATTTCCAATTTGGTGCAGTTTTCTACAGCTTCACGGTCACAGGGCGAAAAAAGTTTTCCACAGATCTTTCCCATTAGTAGATGCCTAAATTTGTTCACTACTTTAAAAAAAATAAATTTCTAAACCAACCGAGAGGCTGCTATGTTTGAACTAAGAGTCTGGTAATACATATGGATGCTCAGTTATCTCTCGGCTCTTTCATCATTAGGTGGTTTATGGAGGCAGAATTGATCGACTCACTGACTGGATTACATCTCGTTCCAGTCGAACACTTGCAGTCTGGCATTCGCCTTGCTCAGCTGCCGACTGACTGTTTCGGCGATGCTCTGCGAGTACCAGATGCGCTTTAGGTTGTTCAACATCTCCTCGTTCAAAAAGAGCGGATTGCCACGTCTAAACGTACAATTTAGCCACCCGTCTAATTCTGCTTCCTTTTCAATAAAACTGCACGTCAATAGTAAAACTCGATACAAATGTGCTTGTGAAAGCAAAGAAAACGGAACCCACCATTTTTGAGTATTGTTTAAACCCGTGATGTGAAAATGCACAGTGTTCTCGCAAATCTACAATTTCCTAAAGGTCTTAACTAAATAGACTTTTGAAACAGGCCATGTTGATTTTCTGGGCTATTCAAAAACACTAAAACAGATCTTATGTCAAAAAATTCAAAAAAACTCTGTATTGTAAGTTTAAAAACTGTTCTGAATCACCTGAAAACAGACAATTCAAGGTAATCAAACATCTATAGCACTTTTTAAATGGAAGACAACTGTCAGCGAGTAATTTCTTACTTGAGGCTGGAATCAGTTTCGCCGTATTCGTCCACGTAAGGCGCCCCATAGAAACATCCCTTTCCACCCGCACTGATGAACATAATCCTGCACTCGAGGGGTCTGAGGAAAAGGCCAGAAGCACGAGTGCATTTCTCCACATGCTGCATGCACGCCCCTTTCACCTGGTTTGTCTCTGGCTCTTCAATCTGGCAGCACAACGAGCCAGAACAGATCACCTGCAACAAATAGCATTTCCCCTTTTGTTCGACTAGTAGAGGTAGAGTTGGAAAAAAATCAGATTTATTTGTAAAAATCAGATTATTTCGATTATAATCACTGATTTTGTTTATTATCAAGATGTTTTGACTTTTTTGTTTGGTCTAAAAATGAGTGTACAGTGTAAAAAATGAGCCTATAAATTCCTATTGCAATTTGCAAAAACTTGACTTACTGTGCTGCCGTATTTTGATTTCGTAATTGTATTTCAAGTCCAGATAAATATATTGAGTTTACCTCTCGGCAGACCATACAGATAGCTGGACATCGCATCGTGTTTCCAGTGGATGGACACAGTTTGATGGGCTGGTTGATCAGTTGGACATAGTCGTGTGGTAGTTCAATCAGTTGGATAGGTTCCAGTGGGTAGCTCACATTCACGTGTGAATTGAGGGCCAGATCACATCGCATAGAATCACACATTCTGAAAAACAATATAAGCAAATATATCATCAAAAACAATCATCGCTGACCAAGCAGAAATTTACAGAACAAATAACATCACTGCCAAAAATATCCATCTTCTAACTTTTTTGACAACCAAGACCAAAAATGACAGATTGTTGAGTATGATCACAAAATTTTAAAAAAAGGCCAACAGACTTGGAAAAGATTCAATAATTGCGAGGAAACGGAAAAAATTATACTGACTGTTTTTCAAATTTCGAATTTCAACTTGAACTTTCGAATTTCAAAGAAAACAATATAGCCATAAAGGCGCTATCAATCTCAAAAACTTTTACACGACCTGTACACTTTTGCTGTTCGATAGTTGAGGTTGCGTTCTTTTTAACAAAAAATCAAATTTGAGCGTGAACAAATTTTAAGACTTTTCCTGGAAAAAAAATCATCAAGACCTATATAAGAGTATCCAGTGCGTTCATGACTCTTAAATACCAGTAAATTATCAATAGACGAATATGCATCAAATATCATCAAACAACCATACCAAAAGCTAGGTCAAACTCTGATATGAAATATTTCCCTTATGTAAAAAAACGCACGCAAAAGGCTCTATTTATTACGTCTGAGTCACTAAGGATATCAAATAATCGAAGAAAACCAAGCTTGGAAAAAAGTTTGGAAGAAAATCGATAGCGGCTTTTGGTTGATAACTTTATTGCTGTATTTGTTTCTAATTAGCAAAAGCGTAACCTTTCTCTCACAATTGGTATTTTTAGTGAACCTTATATCACAACTGTACCAAAAGGCTTAAGCGGCATGCTAGTGATGGAATCAGAAGCCTTTAGAAACTTTAAATTTTAGTGAGGATTATAGGTCTACCAAAACACAATAAGGGGTCACAAATGTGGTTATGGTTCTACCAAGATTCCCTAAATTGATGGAATGTTCGCAGAAATTGGTACGAACGATAAGAAAACGAAAAATCATTTTTTTAACAATTGCAATTCTTTACCTTTGCATGAAAACTTCAGAGATGTTTTTAAAGCCAAAAACGCTACCAATTGGAAAACTAGCTGTGGAAGGATTGCATATTGAAAACTGTAAGGGTACAATTGAGATATGGTGTCCCAGAATACTGCAAGATACTTTATTGTAATCTATGGCGCTTTATTGTTCCGAACAGAGAAAATGGGGAGGACCTTTGTATTGAGGTGTTTGTGTTTTTGTTTTCCATGCAAAACTAAGTAACACAATTAATCATTGGAAGGGCTCGAGTGATATCAAAACAGAGTTTTGGTGATTTTTTGATTGTTTGTTTTTCCATGAAAAGACTTGAATTTGATTTTTCGCCGTGTCTTTTTTTGTTTGTATTTTTGAAAGTCACTTCAATTCCTTTGTTGAAAGGAAGAGAGACTCCACTATCAAACAACAAAAGTGTAAAAGTCTTTCGAACACGTGTAAAAACGTGTTCCCAGTGTCGAGAAAATCCGTTTTGTAATTTTTTGATTTATTCTAATTTTGAGCAAGTAGCGCGAGCGAGCAGGCTTGTAACTTATCAATTTACCTATCACTAAGTTTTACTCAAATCAAAGTATTTATCAAAAAATCTTCTAGCAACTTTTTCGGAAAAAATTCTAAGAACGAGCAAAAAAAAATCGCGAAAACTTCTAGAATGTTTTCGTATTAATATAATAATGTTTGTTTTGGAGATGTTGAACCACGAGTGGAAATCATTGACGAATGAGTCCATGCCTTCACTTGATGAACTGCGCCCAACGGAAAAGAAAACAGTCAACCCTGAACTCTGGAAGAGATCGGACAAGATAACAGGTGGCAGTGAGAACTGGCTTACGGCGATTCCGACCTCCCTGCCGACACGCTGGTTATTGTTTAAAATCTTTTTCACGATTTTTAATTTGACATCATTTCCGGAAAAAACGGGGTCCCTTTATCATCACACATGAATCATCGTTTCGTTTTTTTTGGTTCCTTTTTTTCATTTCCTTTTTTTAATGTTCAGACGATTGAAAATGGGGACAAACTTTGTATTCTGGTGTGCTTTAGTTTCGTGTTTTTTTTTGTTTTCCACGCGAAATTGGTTACCATAAAAATCATCAGAATGGGTTGAACGATATTTCCAATGACAGTTGTTTCAGTCGTGATTCGAACGACATAGGAACAATCATCAAAAACTGTCAAGAAAAACTGGCTTAAACTTAATGAATTTGTTCAATATCGAGCGAGTAAAGCAATCGAGTAACGTTCACTGTATGAAAATTAAACTTTATGTCCTTACCCGGAAAGTGATCTACTTTAAACTGGTAGGGCAGCAACCGATCCACCCAACGGGCCAATCTAAATTGATATATCTTATTTCCAGGGCCGAGGTTGAGTTTTATGATCAGTTGCTATGGTAAATTCTTTGCTTAGGAGATAAAATTTATACAGATCCTAATTTAAAAATAGCATCGGTTTGGTGTAACCCCAGTCAGCGATAAGTGGTGAACCACCAATCTACTTGGTTTTTAAATCAATCGTATTTCAAAATCGTTAAAGCTAATTTTTTTTTTGAGATTTGTCATAACTTTGCTTGCTAGTTTTTCGTGCTCCGATTTATCCCATTTCGACACAACTAGAATGTCATTCAGAAAACAGAATGCGTTCTGTGCATGATTAATAATTCTGTTCATAGCCTTTAGGAGTTCAGAATCAGTAGGTTCCCGTGGTGTTCCCTCCTGCTATGTAGAAATTACATTACCATGCTGTCTTCAGCTAATTTTAACAAGCTATAAGCATGTTTTAAAATAAGGACAGTAAAGTATAAGATGCCAGCCTTCTGTTCAGTAATAACTTGACTCACGTCGTCAAACAGTTTATCAATGCTTGGCATTTGATACTTGTTGTTCGACAATTGCCTGTTTATTAGTTTAGCATCTAAAGCGAGTTTGATAGAATCCTCTCTTTTCACTGTTATTACAATTGGTGCCATGAAGCAATCACTGGTACACTTGGCAAATTTCTCAATGTGACCCTCCGAAAACAGTTTTTTTTATATTTCAGCTTTAACTTTATCCTGAATATGAAAACGGATTCTCCTCCCTTTTCTCGAATCGGGCACAGGGGTTATTTAAACTTTGAGCTGACTAAATGGTTTTTTGAGTTACCCCGTCGCTCGAATAGTTGTTTATTGTTTAATAAAAAAAACTTCTTTTTTTTGACAGCTGACACAGTAGCACGTCAAACTCGGACAATTCCCTTCGGGCTGGTCATTGCGTGGTCGAGATACCCACTGTAAGTCAAATCCACTTACTTCTTCTTCACCGTTCTGTGACCAGGGAAGTTGACCCTTTCAGTTCCTAGCCTGACTATCAAAAGACTGTTTTAAGTCTTCCAGAATGAGGATCGGTTGTTTGTTGTAATCGACAAATTGTGCTGCCAGGTTTAGTTTTCCAGCTGGGGTAAACTTTGGTTTTCGAGATTTATCGAGAATTTCTTTTGTTGTCGCCCAGTTGAGAAACAAGACTCGGCTTCCCGCGTCCACTTGATTTGATTAGCTGATTTTGGATCCTATTTAGTGCCTTCGGCTACTTCCTTTTGTTGAACTTCGGGCCTCGTAACAGATCAATTTTCTGTATCACTACCTCTTCTTTCCTAGATTAGTTAGCGGTATGATTGCAAGTTACTTCTTGGGCGTACTTTTAGATTTCCTTCAACCGAGATATCTGTTTAGTCTGACATATTCTCAAACTCGTCACAGGAATCCAAACCTTCAAAAATCAAAATCAAATCAGGTTCGTCATCTGATCTATCCGAGACTTAAATTACTTCGCTTACTTGCTGTTATCTACACATTCGTTCAAATTGATTTTGCTTGTTGCAATTTTTGCTCGTTTTCCCCAACAAGTTTTTAAATGTCCTTTACATGTTTTCTTTCCGCGTAGCTGAGTTTGCAGCTGAATTTATAATTTCAATTTGCTTTTTGTTGCAGTCCAGTTTATAGGGTTTTCTACTTCCTCGTTAGAGTTTCGTGCTGCCATTATTGGTTCTTGTTTCATCCTGATTCCTATATCTTCTGTTGTGGTTGCTCCTACAGTTGCTTTCACATTTGTTTTCTGAAATGCCAATGTTGACTGTTTAGTGTGTTCAAACTTCATTGCCCTTTTGAGCAGCTCTGATTTCGAATGTCAACGTACTTTGGACTGTGATTTTTCTCATTTTTGAAATTAGGATGACACGTAGTATCTTGTCCTCTAGGATATCTAAATCCGACCTTGCTGCTTCGCAGTTAGTGCGGTGTGGAAGGCTTCTTGTGTTTCGTCTTGTTCCTGGGTTTTAGTGAAATTTGTACCTGTCGCACAATACACATTTTACCTTTTCGAAAGACTCCGCGGCTAACTCTGTCATTTTTCAAGCCTCGAAAAACGGATTATTCTGCAAGCACCAATTCTTGCCTTCAGTTTTTAGAGATAAGAAAAGCCTTGACACCAATTTTTCATTCTGAACTTAATTGTAGTAGATGATGTGCCCGACTCTCTGGCCTCTAGTCTATCGTTCTTCATTCTCTTGAAAGATGTTATCTAGGGCCAATTTGACTCGTAATTTCGTCTTCACTCGGGGTTTCAGGTCTCGGAGGTGATTCCTCTAAAACCTCCTTCGATTCCTCTAGTAATTGTGGGTTAACGTTTTCCTTGACTGTGTGTGCCATGAAAATTGCTCCAACCAGATCTGAAATGCCATGCTGGATCTAAAATCGCCGACGCCCGAAAATGCCGGTGACCCCACGTCAGTACGATTGACCTGCGTTCAGAATCCTGCTGGCTGTGCCATATGGTCTTAGGGACTCTCTTATAAGTGAAACAATTGTAATCAGACAAACTTCTGATCTCAATAAAATCTCATCTTATTATCTATTCTGCAGCTTTTCGCTAGCTTCGGTCAACGCAGTCTGATTTTGCAGATTCTTACATACAATTCGGTTTATAGGGACCTTGATATAAATATAATAGATCAAAAATATGTATACAAGTATACAAATCAAAGTGACTGCTAGCGCAGTGCCACAACTGTACGCAAACGGTAAAAACATAGGCTCTTAGAATCAAACAAATCTCAGAAAAACGAGTAGCAAAAGTGTGATAGAAGGGTTCGTTTGCATTAAAACAGAATCTCAAACAAAATACGATACTTTAAGACCTTTTAACAAAAAAATAACCGCTTTTTTCCACTCCCCTCCCACGTTTCAAAAATTCTATTTTTTTCAGTTGTTTTGCCTGCTATTATGGCTGAATGCGTGCCCGGGTTAACCTCCATAGACCAAAAATGCTAATCAAACAATTTCATAAACCAAGTCTATGAAAAAAAACTAATCATACATTTTGCTAAAATGGTGTCATCGAATTTTCGAAGAACTTTTCTCTTGTTTTGGCATAAATTTTTGTGTACCGTACTAAATAAAAAAAACTTTTTTGTCAAAAAAAATGCTAATCATACAATTTCCATATATAGAAATTGTATGACTAGCATTTTTTTGATGGCGACAACAAAAATTTTTCAAAGTATTTTTGAAATTGCCCCCAAAATTTTTTTTGTTTTTATTTTTCAACCGCAAAATGATTTTCGTACTCAAACAAACATTTTTTGAAGAAAAAAATTTTGCATGCAAAATTTAATTTTTTTTGTGTGTATAACGTAGTCCTGGATATACTAATATTGGATTTTTTTTCCATTTCTCTCGATAACATTTTTCAAAAATGCTCAAGAGTCTTTTTTTTCTATGGCATGTTTTTGTATGCCTTGATCAATGTCTGGTAATTTGAAAATTCACATTTTAGAAATAATCATCTTTGAAAATTTTTGCCAAAATTTAAAAGTTTGATACTTTCGTTATATTATTAGCGTGAGACAGAATTAAGACATTGCAGGCTGTTTCCTAAGCATTTTTAATGCGTGACGGCCAAACCTTTGGTTACTATGTTTGAGTAACCAAGGTTTATTTCATTTGTGTTCGGTTACGATCACAACCAATAAATTTTGAGAAATTAAAATGTAAAAATCAATCTTTTTGGTTTATGGAAAAATGCTAGTCATACAATTTCCATATATGAAAAAATAGTAATCATAGACATTTCATGCAATTTTCTGTACGTATGGAATTGCATGGAAAGTGTATGACTAGCATTTTTCCATATATGGAAATTGTATGACTAGCATTTTTGGTCAACCCGGGTGATTTTTACGATGTAAGGTATGGAGAACAAATGTGAACGAATAGTTACTAAAATTACCTTGCACAATATCATTACATTATGACCGTGTAAAATTGGTTTTTCATATCTGAACTCAAAAGTTGGGGCAAAGCTGAAAATAGCCACGTTAACAAGATCATTTGAATAGTTAACAAGATCCGAGGGCTCTTTTTCTAGTCCCCTCCTAAGATCTATTTTTCTGCAATCCAAAAAATGAAAGTCTTTTTTAAATGTTATAAAATGCATTAAAACGTGTTGGCGTGAACAGGTGAACAAACTTTTATAACATTTCTTACATGCAAATTGCCTTGTGAACAATTTTTGAACACCTTCATTTAGTAACTTTGGCTCTTTTCCAGTACCCCCGTTAAATTACAAAACAGAGATGTTCAAAAATTGTTCACACGGCAATATGCATGTTATAAATGTTGTACAAACTTGCTCACCTGTTCACGCTGACACGTTTTAATACAGTTTATAACATTAAATTCGTATAATGAATTTCAGAAAAAATGAAAGGGGGGAACTGGAAAAAAGCCGTAACTTTATGAGGGGTGTGGAGAAACTCGAAAAGAGCCAATTCTAAGCAAGTTTTGTCTTCATCGTTTTCACCCAAAGTCAACCCAATGTGAGAAAAACGCATGATAAAGCTTAAATTTGCTGTGTTTTGTGCGAGTAATTTTAATCAACGCTATATGAGCTAACATGTGCGTGTTATTATGTTGTGGTAATACTTGATTCGCTGTGGTAATAGTCGGACTTGTTTGATTTAGGACTGCCATTACGTCAATACAAGCCCGGCTAGCTCAGTCGGTAGAGCATGGGACTCTTAATCCCAGGGTCGTGGGTTCGAGCCCCACGTTGGGCGCATCTTTTTGTTCTAACTGTTTTTGTTCTAACTGTTAAACTTCTTACAGTTAATAACTAATTTTAATAATTTTACGTTGTTATAATTTAATGACAATAATGAAAGTTATGCATGGTGACCAAGCTAGCTTTTGTGAACACATTTGTTCTTCATACCTTACATCGTAATATCACACATTCACCTTGCTGCTTGCGTTTTTTGACTATTTTCTAACTGCATGTCGGCTATATTCTTGTTGCTTTACGTGAAGTTATAGCTAAACGCGTAAAGTTACGATACAAGGTATGAAGAACAAATCTGTTCACAATTCTTAGTTTGCTGACCATGCCAAGTTTTATTGCAATATTACAATGTTGAACTAGTTTTTCAAAGTTCTAACTCAAAACTGTACCCACGTTAGTAACAAAAAAGAGCGAAAATTGAGAAGCCACCCAAATATTTTACAGCATGTTTATAAAAAGTGATTGTGTAGTGATTATGGGATGCAGAGCTATAATTTAGCTGGAAAAGGTCCAAAACTGACTACACAGAAAAGATAGGACAACAGGACACATCAAGACAGAAATATAAGAATAGTCATGATGATCAATATCATAGGCATATCTATTATTTTCTCAGAGGAGCGGCAATATCATGACCGGACCTACGATTTTCTCAGGGGGGCAGCAATATCACCGACGGATCTAGTAATTTTTCAGAGGAGCGGCAATATCATTTTTTAGGATCTAGGATTTTCTCAAGGGGCGGCAATATCACGGGCCGATGTAGGATTATGTCAAGGGGGCATTTTTTTTTTTAAATCAAACTTTGTTGACTTCAAATATAAGTCAATCAAACTATTTTCCGAGCTTATACTATGCCATCTTTAAACCGCAAAAAAACTGGCTGAAGATAAATTTTTTGGACAGTTTTTGGAAGGTTTTAAACAATTAATAATTTTTCGGACAGTTTTTGAAAGGTTTTAAATAACTGAAAAATTTTTGGAGCGCGCTCCCCTTTACATCTAGTTTATATTGACGCCGAGGGCACCTTAGAAAAAAAAATTTAAAGCAAAAAAAAGATGTTTTAACATATTAGAAATCGTACCGCGGTCCATTTGGGTGGCCAGAAGTCGAAACCATGAGGTAGGTAGGGGTTCATCCCCCCATTTAAGCGCTACTGATCAATAAGTAGAAGATACACATACCCTAACACGTATGGTGTGAGTGAGGTGGCATTTAGCAGAGACTTCTCCAGGGGTTTGATCAGATCCTCCAGATTGTGTGGGATGCCCAAGTACTGACATAACAGCTCCAAATTATTGTCATCTGCGAAAAAGAAAAACTACTACTCATTTTTTAGAATAATGTCGAGTTGCTTCTCCTTAAGTTTATTGTATCAAGCAAACTATTGCTTAAGCCTTGTACGACTAGAAAAAACAAACTAATTCCACTAGTATTTAGTAGAAATAAAGCAAAAAAAATCGGATGTTCATTAAATGATTGAGCAGTTTATGTTTGAAAGTGAGCGTATGTGTTTTGCCCTTAACGCTTCGTCATTATTTTTAACCCTTTCAATAAATCTTGCATACAGTACTAAGGGGGGGGGGGGGGGCTGGTAGAAAAACCAAAAATGAGAAACAATATTTCAATACGAAAGGAACTAGTTTTGTAGCCTTATTTGGTAACAAATATTATCAAGCCCTAAAATGCATCCAACCAAAACTAAAAAGAACTGTTGATTAAGGAGCTTCCTCCTTAATCGTATGCACTCACTCACCGTTTTCAAGTTTCGTTGGAGTTGGTCCAGCCATCAACATAGACTTGAAAAAGAGAGCTGCACATCTGAGCCAAGGAACGAGACACACCTCCAGCCTAGATAAGACCCTAGATAGAGTCACACTTTTCGGGGGAAGTTTGAGACCACATCTCTCCACCAAGAGATTGAACACATCCAGAATCGTCATTTCGGCGGTCGACTTCTTCGAGTCTTCAGAGTTCGCGGTAGAGTCATCTACATTCGACTGTTTCGGATCTAAATGCGATTCAATTAGCTTTAAAGGCAATCCATATCAGAATGAAGAAAGAACACGTTTTACATAAAATACATCAAAAACATATTATCATTAGGCAAAAAGCTCATATAAACGTCACAGTTTTCTCCATTTTTAAACATAGCCAACAGATTCTTGGAAAAAAGTACAAGAAAAACAAAACCAAACCAAAAAAAGTTGAATGAAAAAATGAGCAGTTTACAACTTTCGTTCATGACTCAGCCTCAAGAATTACTAACCTAGTAACCAATGAAGCAGCTACAGTTGCTATTAATTTGAAAATGCTTGGAAATATACCGAAAGTTCACCGAATGAGCACTTTCATGCGCAAGTTATTTTGAGAGAAAAAGATTCGTAATATAACACTACGCTCGCTAGCTCATTTGTGTAATAACATAGCCAACAGAAAATGGGAAATGCATTAAGGAAACTGGAAAAAAAAGATACTTATTTGAAATGTTATTTCAAATTTCAATGAAAAAAATCACGCCAAAGCTCTTTCAATTTCAGGAATCTTTCAGGATTGACACTTTTCATGATACTAAGTTAGAAAAAAGTGACTCAAAAGGTATTTTCTCTAGCTATTCAGAAACGTAAAATCCGGGGCTTAGGAAATTAGACGATCAGAAAACAACGAAATTTAGACATTAACTCGCGTGAAGTTTGTTTACAGACTTAAATTATCTTTTGTCTGAGTAAATACTGGTTGTCCAATTTGGACAATAACTTGCGAGCAAATTGCGCGAAATTTGTTAACAGACTTAAATTAAATTTTGGCTGAAAAAATACTGGTTGTCCTTAAAATCCGTTTCATTACGGTCGTCTAATTTATTGTCGTCTAATTTCCTAGGCCCCCTAAAATCCACTTTCGAGCCTAAAAACCATTCACGATTTTGCATGCCCTTTGCAATTCTTATTAGGAAGTGTAATTTGACTTTCATGAAGCTAAATAATTTGCGATAAAATTTACGAAAGAAAAGTTGATAAGCGAAAAAGCAATTCCTGAGTCAATTCATTCACTTAACCTGAAAAAATAATTGAACTGATTCAATTATAGAACTCCAGGATACTATCTACAATTCGAGCTAAAGCTTTTTATTTACGTGACCTATGCACTGCGGAGGGGGGGGGGGGGGGGGTGAGGAAGGGGTGGGCTTAATAATTCAAAAACTAACACAAAAGCTTTGTCACATAGGAGCAAGAAACCTGTTTGAAAATTGCCCAGCAAAACGAAGGCTGGACTTTAGAAATGTCCTCTCTACTATAAAATGATAATTTCTCTGCTTGTAAAGAACCCTTTAAGCCACATGTTATGGCAATAAAATAGTAAAATGTCCAAGAGCATTTATTCGCGTTCGATTTGAAACAAAAAAATTAAGAAATCGAGCGACAGTTGAAAAAAGATTACCATCGATTAGCATCGGTTGCTCTTCATTTGCTGCAATGTCTTGTGCCATCTTGAGGAGCACCTGAGTGACATGTAGATTGACAAAGTGGACCAGGATGAACTTGTAGACACTCCTTCGCATGAACATATTGGCCGCAGGCACTGACACTTGGCTCGGATCCGAGGCATGCAGCAGGTGCAGTGAAGACACCATGTACACCTGGAATACAGGGCAGAATGCAACTTTAAAGACAGCCAACAGACAGACAGATCAAAAATTAAACTCGGATTCTTTTCCGACGCTTTAGGTTTTCAACGACATAAACCATATGAAAAGCTTCTGCTCTCAATATCAATCGGATGTACTTCACAAGCAAACTTAATTGCAGCTCAGTTTCTCTAGCCTACCAGAACTTACAGAACTTAATTTTAGTAATCGGATGAATAAATTTTTCCAGCAAATATTCTTACCATATAGTAGAATAGATCGTACTCGTAGAGAAATGCGGAGGGACTGAAGTCTAGGAATATCTTCCGAAACAGAGTCAGCAAGTGTTTCTTGGAGAAGTTCAAGTACTGTGCACTCAATTTGGGCATTAGCATCAGGTTTCGACACAGGTACTCCAAGTTTTCCTAAATCAAAAGGGGTTCGCTAGTCTTCAATCAAACTCAACGAAAACAATATGAACTCTTACCTCTCGCATCGATTGTGCAAACAGTGACTTCTGTGAGAAGCGACAGGAATATTCTGAAACAAAACTTTGTTGATCATGTTTCGTTGTTGATTATCTTTGTTGATTATGTACCGATAGTTCTGAAAACGACAGGATTCCATCTCAAAAGTGAAAAACCAATATCAATTTTTTGGCTGAGCGCTTTCGATGATGGTTAGGAAAAATCGAGTCTCTCTTCGAATAGTTTCACAAACCCTTCAAAGATAGTCAATTGGATTTTAGATTACAATTGCAGAGTTTGTGTAAAACTGGGGTAGAGTTTAATAGCTTTTAATGGCAAAGTTGAAATTGACACAGAGGCGAAGCTTCGCTTCGCAAACACCAGCGAGGACACGACAAAAAGCAGCTCTAGAAAGTGCAAGAAGAAAAAATAGAAGTTAGTCTCGAAGTAGTAAAAATTTGGCAAGGTCTAGGATTCGATCTGTGACCCTCTGGAATCTAGAGATGTTGAGTCTCACACACTAACCACTTAGCCATGCACGCTTATCCAACGACAAACACAATTACGAATAAAGCAGCTGCATATGCTAATAAATTGCCAATGCCATTCAGCAAAAATGGCACCAAATACAAATAGACTCAATTTTGCAAGTAATAAATTGGAAAATAACAAATTGAAGGCATCCACACTAATTTTGCATGCAAAAAATCGGAAAGCATAAAACCACATTATGTATAAAATATGCATTTCAAAAAATTGCGAGATATATTGAGTTAGAAATTTTCTGAAATCGAATTTTTATTATTGTTATGTTGTTTGAAACAAAGCTTTCTTCGGTTCATTTGATGAATTAAAAATGCATCAAATGTGTTAATTTATTACTATCCGAATGTCAAAGCACATGTTATCGAAATGCTGTAAGGGTGCCTCAAAAGTGGCACCAATATTTGCGACTTGGATTAGAAAAAAAGAAGGTTCGTAATAATACACTAAGCTGACGCTAAAGTAAATACGAAGATCAATTATAACCGGTTAGTATTCATGAAACCTCGTTGCGGGAAGCCGCGTTTTTTAAACTGTCAGAGCTGACTGATTTTTCATACTTGTTAAGGTACCAGAAATGCCTCATTTTAAAGACGTGATTTTTATCTTGAATGTTAGGCACTTCATTTCACATGCAAAATTAAGTAAAAAAGATAAAAAGGTTCAGATAGATTGATCTCTTCGCTAGTTATTTGAATATAGCTGTAAGCATCCCGACAATATTTTTCACGCCGAAAACGTATCCATCCAACATTTTACAAAAAAATGTCAGTTGCTCAGCCAAACAATTTCTCAAATAATGAGAAAGTCTGCAAAAAAAACATTCAAGACAGCCCAATTAAACCGTAGGTTTAACACTAGTTCAAACGCCTATTATATGATACCACTCCATTCTCACAAACCAAACAGGACAAAAAATCAGTTTCCTCAAAGATCATGAAATGCTTAAGTTTCTGATGAAAACGATTCACTTCCTGTTGATTTGATATAAAGACCGAATCAATTAATAACATTTGAAAAAGTCATGAAATTGACTGATTTTACTGGTAATTCAGAATTGATTGATACGTTCGCATAAAAGATATAAAACCCACGCTTTTAGGTGTTCCTAATTTGAGCAAATTCTTAAGGCCCACTGCAAGTTGGGCTGTTTAAGCGCGTATAGTGGCCCTAAATATGGTTGTGTGAAAGTTCCCAAATTATTTGGCTATAATCAGCAATTTATCCTTCACAATCGAATAGAGATGTAACCGGAATTGATTTTGCCTGAATTCCGGGACTGCAAATCCCGGATTTTTCAACTGCTGCTGATGAGTAATTTACTTAGGCATATACTTACTTAGGCCTTGAATTTACACTTCGATGATCGACCTAGTTGCATGACTGATTCCGATAAACAACTTTAGATGAGTGATTCAAACCTTCTAACCTTGTGCAAGTATAGTGGTGGCGACAGAGTTCCACACCACCACCGGGATCCTCGGATTGTTCTCGACCGGGTTCACCTCCAGACCCTTAATATACACACTCTCTGCAAAATGCTTCAGCAATCTCTCCACATTGTCCGCCAGCTGCTCAAACCTTTCATTTGAACCTTTCTCTATCCCTGTCATGTTTTCGAACACAGTCGGACTTGACATGACGTCACTTCTCGTACAACCGAAGTTAGAAAACTCGTGCAGCATGTCAAAGTACGACTGCACATCGTCGGCAGTTTTCAAATCATTGATTTTGGGCGATATTTTTGAGTAGGGTTCCAATATTTCTGGTTGTATTAGAGGGATAGTGGCATTTGCTATCGCTCCACACATGGGACAGAGGAATTCACCCTTTTCCAAATTGTAGCCCAAACTTTTGCTCATTGTAAGACGGCGAATTCCCATTCGGCTTTGCTCATCTTTAACCAGATTTTTGAAGTATCTAAAAAGAGGCATTTCATTTTTCTATAAATAATATATCGATAGGAAAAATGTACTCATTCATTTCGAAAACCCACCTTGCAAAAATGAGCAAGAAGAATTTCCTCATGGAAGCGTTCAAGGGCTTAATTGACAGCAATTAATAATCGCAGAAAACCCTCCCCAAAGATGGGAAAAAAACAGGAGCGGATAAGGGGAGGTTTGCTAACAACATCCCCCACGGATTCAACCTGTCTAAACCCCCCCCCCCCCCCACCACACACCTTTCACAACCCAACCATCATCTTTAATACTATTACGAAAAGTTTTACAAGATGGAGTGTGAAAATCAAATGTGAAATGTGTTTGCAATAGCCTAATTAGTCCGCATGCCTCGAAAAGTCTTCTCAATCTGCGCCTGCAAAATTTTCTATTTCTATATTAACTATGTTAACGAAAAAAGCACACAGGACCCAAAACAAAAATCAATTCTTTTCCAGTTGCCCCTCCATCCCACTTACTTTTTAGTGTAAATTCAATATATGAAAATCTATTTAAAATTACATTTCATGTTGTAGACAGGTAATTAAAAAACAGGTCAGCGTGAACAGATGAACAAAATGTTTTGCAACAATTCTTACATGCAAAAATTCGTGTGAACAATCTTTGAACAGTTTTTTTTGTACTTTTACGAGTGGGTGGGAAACTGGAGAAAATCCAAAAATCTGTCCGTTCAATAACACAACAGAAGATGCCAGCAGTCACACTAACTTTTGCCAGCATCCATAGTGCAGATTATGTCCACACGAGGTCACCAGTGAGCCCCAGGGTAGTGTGGCCATAGGGGGAATTGGGTCGTAATTATCCAGTTCATCTCCAGTGGGCAGTTGGTGGGCGGAGTCCTTCGACTGAGACCAGAGGGTGGTCCTCTGGATGAAGGCAATCTGCACCATCAGCTCATCTATCGGGTCATACGGTTCGCCTAAAACCACGAGCTATCCATTTAGAAGAATGCCAATAGACGGTCAATGAACGCAAACAAACAGGAAAAAAATACTGACTTGTTTTGTGAGAAAGGTTAATTTTTGAATTTCGAAAAATGATGCCCTTAAAGCTATTGGAATTTCTAAAACAATTTCGATAAAATTGACCCATCAGTTTGAATTTTGTCTTATGTTTGTTTGATTCATACATATTTAAAAAAGAACCAAATTTCAGCCCTATTTAAAAGATTGTCAACTTTTTGTGAGAAGAAGTTCCCATGCAGACTACCGGAAAACGTAATACCATGACTCGCACAACAAGCAATTTAATCCAAGGACAAACAATCCTTTTCCGGAATACTATATTGGGACTAGGGGCTGGCAAACCCTTAAGTATTGCGATTTTTGCGCCGACAATTCAAAAAGAGCTGAACGAAGCGATCGGATTAAAAAATGAAGTGCAAGCAGGATTCTAATCCTTTTTGATTTTAGCTTTCTGGCATTTTTAAAAATTATTTTTAAGTTTCTGTAGCGTCTCAAGTATCGGAAAAATTTGGGTCATATTTAATCATAGAACGCTCAGTTATTTTGAGCGCACTTTTCCGGGTTTTAATTGGCAAAATCGCTTCATTCTCTGATATTTACCGAAATCCCCTTTGAATCACGTTTTGTTTTTAAATTGGATCAAAACGGTGTTAAGTTGTAGCAAAGGCTTTGAAATGTAGTGATTTTAAATTGCTAAGGTAAGACAAGGTAGGGAGTGATATTGTGGGATATTTAGTAAAAAAAGAAACCTTGAAACTGTAGTGTTATTTCTATTATCTCCAACTGCGTTTTAGGTAGCAAAACAGTGATCTAACTTCAAAAAACATAAGCATTGTTTGTGCAATACAAAGAACTACTACGATAACGCCACTGAATGAAATACTTGAAAGAATGTTCTTGAGAAAATCAAACATAACTGAGAAAACTGGACCAGATGGCAATCTCTAGTCCACTGGGAAATTAAAAAAAAAAATCTATGGTTAATAGAAGTCTCAGCAGTTAGAGAGCGCATAAAATACCTGAGTAAAACTTAGCCAACTGACAGATGGAAAAGAGTAATGAACTCAAGTAAACAGAAAAAAAAAAACAAACTTGTTTTTTCAAAAATCGTCAACTTTTGAACTTCCACGAAAAAAATAGATGGCCTTATAGCTCTTTGAAACTGTAAAATAATTTATGATTGACACTTTTTTGTTTAAACTACCGCAATTTGAGAAAACTGGATCAATAGGCAAAACTTTTATTTCTCTGGGTAATCTGATAATTAATTTCCATTTTCGAAATTAGAAGTTGATCACGTTTTTCGTGACCTTTACAATTTTGCTGTTCGACAGTGGAGTTTGCCTTCCTTTTACCAAAGGAAACACACTGAACTTAAAAAGAAATCACAATTCAAACCGCGAAAAATCAAAATTGAGCGTGAACAAATTTTAAGACTTTTTCCCAAAAAAAACAAACAAACAAAAAATCAGCAAGACCTATATAAGAGTACTCACTACGTTCATTACTCTTAAAAATGCATATATAACTAAGTGCGTTCGTAAATGCATTAATATACAGTTAATAGAGCATTTAAAGACTTTTTCCTAAAAATCCAAAAAAATCAAGACTTCACTACGTTCATTATAAATGAAAATACCTCAAGTTGAGCAAAGGGACATGTGCAGTCAAGGTCAAAAATGAGTTAGAGTAGTGTTTGAATGCGTACTTCCTGATGTGTCCATGGATGTGTCAGGTTCCGAAACCATCGCTGTTACACTTGCCTCCGCGACATCTCTGGGTGAGTCACGGTCCACGGGAGTCGTGGATGTCGTGCTATCCAATTGGCTTCCGAACAGGATAAGGCGGTCAGATTTACAGACTAGACACAACTCTGTATTCGTTTTAGGGGCACTCAACTTTGTGCATTCCGCTCCGAGGAGAACCGTCGATGCTTGCAAAGACATTCTAGAACAATAAATCAGATAATTAATAAAAAAAGTGTATTTAATTTCGAAAGCAGACTTTTAATTTGAATTTTTCAGGCAGTATCAAATAACTGACAACCCATTTTAATATGCAATGCACTGGTTTGAAATGTAAATATATTCATACCGCAATATCGTAACAGAGAAAACGTTAATAATTTTTTCACCAAGTCCGAATCATCACTGAAAAGACTTCATCATTAAGTCGCTCGCGACCATGCACGACGTGTTTTATAGTAGTTAGCGTGAAAAAATGCATTCCTATACAAACTTACGTCACCAATTGGTTGATATTATAGTTAATGCCAAATTGTTGGCAATATCGGTGACCTTGAGTAGTTTAATTGGTCAAAAACTAAAGTATTTTATGCTAGTTAGTTTTATTAGACACGGTTTTTATATGCAAATCAGTAACGAGATGAAGTTCGACATCAAAATGAGCAGTTTTAGGCTAATTAACTTCGCTGATATTCGTTGACCGAAAAGATATTGCCAACAATTTGACATTAACTATAGAAAGTGGTCGCTAATTCTCCCCTGCAACTTACGAGTCAACAGCTGTATCTTTCACATCAGCAGACACAATGTGGTCCAACTCGTACGAGTGTTTGCTTGTGAATGCACTCTGTGCACTTCGCATTGCTTCCATCGCCAGCTCGCGAGTCCTCTTTGCCAGCTCCCGCTGTCGTTTCCGGTTCCTCTCGGTCGAACCTACAAATACATTAATTCATCATAATCATCATGCTTTCTTCATTTATACACCTTTTCTTGTTCTCAGAGGTGTTAGTTGATATATCTTCGTGTTTCTTTTTTGAGTAGCTTCGTCGGCTGTTTCTCGTATTTTGTGGGGTTGCGTTATTTCCGATTGTTCGGTTCTATGCTTTAATACAGTGAACTTCATCGTATACATTAATTGCCAAAAAAAATCTGCGCTATATGAATTCTGCCAAACATTCAAAATTTATTGCTAATTGATTCATTAAACAGTTAGACTTGGAGAGAAAAGCTCGTAACAACAGTTGATAGGGAACTTAAATTAAACACGTTGGAACCACAAAAACACGTTAGAATTCAATATGCCCAATGAACTTTCTTTTCAAGTTTAGACTGTTTTTCTCTGACACAGGAAAAAAAGTGTTTTAGAAAGACACTGACTTAATTTGATGCATTATAGACAGAAAACATTTCTTCAAACACTACAACACAAAGTGAGTCCAGTTTATACCTTCTGCGTTCCTCTGAATTGAGCCTCCATTCGATGTCACAGGCTCACAGTCCATAGTCAGACTTTCATGCAGACCACTTTGATTATCAGGCTGTAATTCGGCCCTCTTAAGCGCCACTTTCTTCTGCTGATCCAAAACAAACCGTATCAACGGCTTGTAACAGTCCACTCTGCTGTCTGTTTTCAGGAGTTCTTTCAAGTAGAATGCCACTGAATTGTATTTCTCCGTGTGTACATTTCCACCTGTGAAGTTAAAACACTTGTGGGTGAAGTTAAGCTCCGGACTGGCATCATTTGGCACTCTCTTTTTCTGATTCAATTGTTGCATTTCTTCATTGATTCCCATGGCAATGATGTAGACCGAGAAATGGACGATGTTTTCCGAGTAGAAACGGTCCGACATGTAGAGTGCGCGTCGCAACAGAGTGTGAAGAATGAATATCAGCACATCACTGTCAAACATGCTCAGAATGGTCCTTAGTTCTGGTCTGATCGAGGGCAAAATCGACGGCTCCACGTCTAAAAAAAATCGATCACTGTTCAGGTCTTCCATCGATAACATTGTAAGTCTTCATTTTAACACTTCCGAGACAACACACAAACATAGCCGTACCAGCTAGCGGAAAATATCGAAAAAAAAATATTCAAGCCGAAGAACCTTTAACGCAAAAAATTGGATCTTATTAAAAATCTGTTAACGCAATTACCTGCTAATGTTAGATACGGCACTATAGAATGGTAAAAAAAAATCCTGAGCCTGCATAAAATACTATAATGTGAAAGTAAGCAAACAAAAAATAAGCGACAAAACGGTAGTCGCACAAGAAGTCCAGTAGGATTCGAACCCCAACCTTCGGCTCCCAAGGTTCACACGTGTTGAAAGTTACTGAGGTTTCATAATGAAAAAAAGTCAATTTCTTAAATTCTAGCAGTAAGAAAGTCTAGTTGTGAAAACTTACAAATTTACGAATACATGACATTGAATTCGAACTTGATGGCAACAAATTCAATTCTTCTGCAATTTAATGGTATTTCAGCAACAATTAACCCTTTTTCTTGTAGAACTTGATGTAATTCATTGCTTTTTATTCAAAAAAAAAAAGCGACAGGAAATAACTTTTTATTCTGAATAAGATTTTTTTTCGAGTTTTTGAAAAAATTTTAATTATAAAACATAGCCAATCGAAGATTGGAAACGAGTAAAGAAAGCAAGTAAACATAAAAAAAACAGTGACTTTGTTAAAAAAAACCTCAATTTTCAAATTTCAAAAAATGATTAGATGCCCTTTGAATTTCTAAAACAAGTTATGATTTGCGCTTTTTTGATAACATTAACCCAAGAAAACTGGATCAATAGCTGAAGTTTTTATTCCGGAGGAAATCTAAAATTTTGACTCCACTTTCGAACTAGAAATCACTCACGTTTTTTTTGCGCCATTTGCACGTTCGTATTTGGTGAGTGCTATTTACGTCACTTTCAGCAGGCAAATTTCAATTCAACTCAAAAAGTGCATATAGACCTAAGTGCATCAAAATTTTAATACTTTTTCCTGAACTGAACAAAAACAAAAAAAATCAGCCAGACCTATGTAAGAGTCTTTTCAATATTTGAATTACAGTTCTTCGAATTTCAAGAAAAACTTAATTTTTTTTTGTAAAATTAACTCAATTTGAAAGCACGATTAATTGGTAAAACTTTTATTCAGCTGGAAAATCTGAACATAGCAAACACAGTTGGATAAGAAAATCAATGTAGACAAGCAAACAGAAAAAAAAACGACTTATTGATGAAAAACTATAACTTTAGCAATAGTGAAGAAAAAATAGATGGCCTTATAGCTCTTTGAATTTCAAGAACGCTTTATGATTGTCATTTAAAAAAAAATCAATCCAACCTAATTTGAAAAACTGGAAAAAAAACTTTTATTTTGCCGTTTGATAGTTGAGTTTGCCTTCCTTTTAACTAAGGAAATGAAATGAACTAAAAAAAATCAAAAACCAAACCGCGAAAAATCATAATTTAGCCTAAACAAATTTTAAGACTCCCGAAAAACTCATCACGATCTATACAAGTCTTTCGTTCATCGACTCTTAATCATAGCACAAATCAAATCAATATTGTTATCATAGAAAACTGGACCAGAAGTTGACTTTTCTAATTCGCTGGGAAATCTTAAAATTAAAATTCGAACCTAGAAATCATTAAAGTTTTTTTTACTTCTAACTCTGTTTTTTTTTAATTGGACAGCGTATTAAGCCTTGCTTTTAGGATTTGAATTTGAACTTAAACATTAAAGAAAAGCGAACCGCCGAAGATCAAATTCGACTTGCTTAAGTTTAAAGACTTTTCCTGAAGAAAAAAAGAATCATCACGATCTATATAAGAGTCTGAACTACGCCCATGGACTCATAAAAATAGAACTGTCCCACGTTTCGCCCCTCTTAAATCTAGTGGCACATTTTGCCCCTCACACATTTCGCCCCTATTAATTTCACACATTTCGTCTTCGCACGTTTTCGCCCCTAACTTATTGCAATTAATTAACGCCGCTTTCTTAATGCACATCTTAGGGGCGAAATGTTCCTCTAGATTTAAGAGGGGCGAAACGTGTGAGGGGCAAAATGTGTGAATACCTAAAAATAGTAATAATTTTAACTCACACTCAGGCAGATTGTTTTCTTTCCGCTCCGTCAATATGTTCGCCTCAATGGTTGACAGTTCTGATCGAGACAGATGGTAGCACATGGGGTTGAACAGTCTCTCCTTGACCTCCTTCTTCGCCTTGAACTTCTTCGACTTCGGGTCAAAATCGGCCACCAAGTGCAGGTTTTCGTCTATCTCTGCGACTTCATCTCTCTGCCAAAAAACAACAAAGTGAGTTCATGAGAAAAATTTGAAGTTACTTTCAAAATATAGCTGACATTTCGAGCAAAATTTTTTGGGGCTTTCAATTAATTGTGCGCATGATCGAAAGAAAGTAAAAAATAATCGAATTCAAAATTGGTTTTTTTCTTTAAGGAAAGCATTCGTAACAAGATATGTTTTCATTGTACGAAAATCCTGAATAACTGAAAACCCACTTAACAATTTTAAAAATAAACCCTTGAAATCTAATATTGCTTGAATTGGAAAAACCGCTATAAAAAACGAATAATGAAAATCAAAAACAAAATTTTTTTCTGGTGAAAAGAACGTTTTCATTTTTTCGCCGGAGACGGAAATTTTCGCCAGTGAAAAAAAGGTTGAAAATTTACAAATTAATGAACGCATGAGATTGAACTCAACCTTGATCAAAAACTTGATGCTATAGAACTCAAAACATGACCTCAAACTTGAATACGTTTCAATTAATTGAGCGCATGATCAAGAGAGGGTAAAACCATCTACTTCGAAGCTGGTATTCTTTAAACAAAGCATTCGTAGTAAGATAAGTTTTCATTGAATGAAAATCCTGAATAACTGAAACCCCAATCTGTCAATTAACGCCATTGAAAAGAAACCTTTAAATCTAATATTGCTTGAATTTGAAAAATCGCTATGAAAAACAAATGATGGAAATGAAAACAAAATATTCTTTCCCGGGTATGGACATCAAAATAATAATTATTTTTCCAGTGATAAAGCACGTTTTCACTTTTTCGCCGATGACAGGGGTGAAATGAAATACGGTAGATTATTATGAGTCTAAAATTTATACTAACCAGAGTAACCTTCTTGACTATTTCCGAGTGTGAATGGACTCCCATGAGCAGAATATGAAGCAGCTCGCTCTGCAGATCCGCATCTTTCTCGAACTTTTCAGTCAAAACTGTATGGCGTTCAGACAGAAGCACAATCACGAGGTAGAGAAACTCCTCGATCAGTGCCAAGTACGTTTTGGACAAGTCCTCCAGAGACACGTGCTGTTCCTGTCTGGGTTCGAACCAGTCGAGTAGTTTCAGGTGAAACTTATTCAACAGGTGGATAAGAAATTCGTCCATGGAAGGTGTTTTACACGCACATATTTGAAGCATGGCTATGTCTTGGTTATACATATGAACCCTGCCCGAGATTCGGTTGTACAGATGAATTTGATTGACTAAAGAAAAGCCGTTTCGTTTCCACATATTAGCATGGATGACTTGAGCCGCCAGTACTATGACTCTCAGACAAGGTTCCATTAGCTGATCATAGGGGATATGACAGAAGGCTATACGCAGATTCCCATACCAGTCATCTTCATTCCTCGCTGAGAGCACGTGACACGCTCGACCGACTAAAGCGGCAAGGATTCTGTGCAGCTGCAAATGAACCGACACTGGATTGGTCTCAACAGGGTTCGCAATGCATTTTGTCTGAACTCCTCCGAATTTTTTCTTGTCCGTTTCCACAGAATTTTTTCGAGACTGACGCTCCAGAATGTTTGACGCGACTAAAATACACTCGATGAGGAGTTGATCGTCACTGGATACGATGTCCAGCATCTGAGAATGGACTGAACTCAGGTTTAGTTCCAGGCGCATCACCGGCTCCCATTCTGGTTCCACCTCAATGTGGTGCTTCAATTCACGCTTCACCGACACTTGGTTCTACAATAAATTATCCATTTTTCGTAAATTATCCAGTTTTCATAAATTATCCAGTTTTCACAAATTCTCTAGTTTTCACACCAATAACAGAACATTTCGAAAAGCTGCACAGCTCTTTCAATTTTTCAAAGTTGCACAAAACGCCATTTTTTATTCTTAGAGGGCACTGATTCACTGTTTCGACCATATTCTTATAAAAATGCAAAAAAAAGTTTTTAATGTTTTTTATTTCAAATTAGTGTTGTTTTTTGAAAGGATCTGAAGAAACCCTTAAATCTAGGTATATTCGACAATCGCAGTAAATGTGCAAATCAGGCAATGTTTTTTGTTGAAAAATGTAGTTTTTTGTAGTTTTCATAATTTATCCAGTTTTCATAAATTATCTAGTTTTCACGAATTCTCTAGTTTTCACACCAATAACAGAACATTTCGAAAAGCTGCCCAGCTCTGGCACTAGTTCCAAAGCGCCTCGCTTCAACCTCCAGTGATTTATGGAACAATGAGAAAACTTTGTATTCGGGTGTGTTTTTTCTTTCTTTTTTAAGAGTTTTAGCGACGATTTTGGAATCAAAAACTTCAAAACAATTTCTGCAAAAAAATTGAGAAGTTTGAAAATTTTTTTGAATTTTGTTTTTTTTCTGGTCATTTTTCAACAAAAAACATTGCCTGATTTGCACTTTTACTGCGATTGTCGAATATACCTAGATGTAAGGGTTTCTTCAGATCCTTTCAAAAAACAACACTAATTTGAAATAAAAAACATTAAAAACTTTTTTTGCATTTTTATAAGAATAAGGTCGAAACATTCTGTGCTACTTTCATAGCAACCAGCTAGCCTTATTATTTCTAGAATTTCTCCATGAATTATCTGAATCAGTGCCCTCTAAGAATACAAAATGGCGTTTTGTGCAACTTTCAATTCTGCAACGGTCACAAATTTTCAAAACATTAAGCAGGTTGACCACTGCAACAGAGTAAAAACCCAAAAACGGCCAGCGAACAATTTGAAAAAAAAACTGAATTAGTAACACTAGAAGTTTATTTAATTCGTTAGAAAAGATCAAGCGTAGTCTAGAAAAAGTTTCTCAGCTTTCAAATTTTCGGAATAACTACTTAGGCCGATTTTTTTATACTTCAATTACGCATTTCAGAAGCTTAGTTTTCATTTTTCTTTCGCTGGTAGGGCTTAATTTACGCCCCTGATATCAAAATTGAAATTTGCACAAAAATATATATATTCTTGACTGTATCCGCTTTTATTTCAATTTTGGTTTATGAACGTAGAGAGCTTGAAATCTACAGCAGTAAAGAATTATTTCATTAGCCCCAGGCCTAGGCAATATTGGGCGAGGGGGTTATGCAACCCTTCCCATCTTTAGGACGCGGATGAGATAGGAAACAATCCAACCGGGATCGAAATGGGATTCGAACCCAAGAACCTCGTGCCAAGTTCCGTGCGCTCTTTTCCTACTAGACCTCAGCCATTTCTGCGGACAACGTTTCTCATAGATTACAATTTCAGCTGCGAAACAAAACATAGCCAACTGACAGTTGGAAAAGAGTAATGAACGAAAGAAAAAAACTGACTTGTTATTTTTCAAAAGTTTTCGACTTTTTCATTTCCAAGAAAAAAAAATAGATGGCCTTAAAGCTCTTTGAGTTTGTAGAAAAATTTATGATGGACACTTCTTTTATTAATATTTGCCCAATTTGAGAAATTTTACCTGGATCAATAGATAAAACTTGTATTTGACTGGGAAATCTACAAATTCATTTCCATTTTCGAAATTAGAAGTTGATCACGTTTTTCGTGACCTTTACAATTTTGTTGTGCGATAGTGGAGTTTGCCTTCCTTTTAAAAAGGGGAATGCATTGAACTTAAAAAGAAACCACAAGAACTAAAAAAGATATAAGAAGAAAACTTAAAAAGAAACCGCCAAAAATCAAAATTGAGCGCGAAGAAATTTTAAGACTAGTTCCTGAAAAAAAAATCACCAAGACCTATAGAAGAGTATTCACTAAGTTAACTACTCTTAAAAAGCCAAAAACTTCAATGATATGAAGTTAATGACAATACTTGCGCCAAATGGCATAACTACAAGAAACCTTAAAATTACAGAAATAATAGAGATGCGCCTTACCATACAATAACATCAATTGAGCTATTCTTAATTTCAGAGACCAAGCGCAGCTTCGAACAAATAGCGATAAAATAATTTATCTCTTAATAGAAAGCCATTGAGTGATCAGCATTGATTCGATTAGGTTACAAGCGAAAAAACAATTTGGCTACATCAATCAGGAAAGCCAGTAGCTGCGCAAGTAGTAGAGAATGTTCTGACCATATAAAAGTTGGGCACATTCGATGGTCATAATAAAATAGCTACCAAAAGCAAAAATTTATTGTTTCAACCCAAAGACAAAAATAAAAAAAAACAAAACTTTTCAATTTTCTTTAGCAAAAACTTTTATTAAAATTCTGTTTTTATTCCCAAGGTTACGCTAAAAAACTTCAAAAACTAATTTTAATTGAGTAAAAGTTTTCAGACCTTGAAAAAAAGTTTTATGGCTTATACATCTAAAATAAGCCTGTTAGCTTGCTTTTTTTGCTCAATATTATGCTAAAATACAAAATTTCAAACGAGTTTTTCTCGACAATGAGAGAACTTTTTGGACTATTTTAATGCCTTTTGAATCACGACTGGAATATGTTGAATATATAACACTCGAATCATTCTGATGATTAATTGTGGCACCCGAATTGGTATGTCACGGAGCCGAATACCCGGACAATCGGAAAATACATTCGTTCCCGAATAGCCGTAAAAAAATTCGTTCGCGGATAGCCGAAACTCTTTTTGTTCCCGGACGAAATCTTTTTTTTTTGTTCCCGATAACCAAAAAATTCGATTCGATCCACACCAAAAATTTAACGCTGAAGATGTTAAACTGTTTTATCAAATATATAATAAAAAAAGGCGTTCCCCATTATAGCCCCTGTCCCCCGTCAAGTAATTCATAGACCCTCAGAATAAAAAACTAAATGATGCGGAAAACATAGCTTTAAAAATTTGAAATTTCTATCCAGCTTTTCTTGGATAGCTTAAATTTGAGCTGTCCCGAAACGCTGTAAAGATCTTATTTTTGACAAAATTTGTCGCAAAACTTCTGACAACACTTTTTGGACGAGACCAAGCAAGCCAAACGAACCTTCATCTCCTCCGGAGATGAAGAATTAACAAAAATGAAACGAAACCCGCTGCCCATGAAGGAGACGCGGCCACAACAACGACATTAACAACACTTTTTGGCCCCTGCTCCCTGTGCCCATCTCAAGACCCTCATTTTGTTTTGCTCTCATTGGTTTATTTACTGGATAGCTAGAAAAGGGATTCTTTGTTCCCCGATAATCAAAAATAATTTTTCATTGGATAGATGTAATTTTTTTCCCGAAAGCCGAAAAAAATTTGTTCCCGGATAGCCGAAAAAGTATTGCGTTAATAAAGTAGTCGCACTGTTATTGCTTTCTAACTCCATGAAATCAAAGCCATTACGCATAGAAAAGCTTTGGAGTCTATTCGATTTTTGGTTTGCTAGGTTCCAGACAAAAAACAAGGTAGTTTAACCGTTCGAATAAAAGTGGTCCAAATTTTGTGAAGAATTTGCTTTTTAGTAAAATTTTTTGTTGTTTCTAACTAATTTAAACATAGCCAACTGACAGTTGGAAAGAGTAATGAACGCAAGGAAACAGATAAAAATGACTTGTTTTTTGAAAAATCCCAGCCTTCGAATGTCAATGTCGCTGATTTCAATGTGCAGGATAACAAAACATGTAAATCTAGTATTAACGGTTTCAAAGAAAGACAGCAGAGAACTTCATCAGTTTGTATTTACCTCCATTGAAGCTAATAACTTGGCGTAGAGAAGGAATGCCCTGAATAAAGTTCTCCTCTTTTCGTCGTCCCAACCATCCAACTGATTGTGCAGGAGGTACCTAAACAATTACGATATCTTGAGATGCGTTCAACAAACCTAAGAATCAGTAAACAGAATCAGGTTAAAATTAATTCAGGTGCCTATCTAGATTTATAGAATTAATTTTTCGAGAACTTAGAATAATAAATTCACGGCTGCTAAGTTCTTGAAAAAAATTCAATTCATTTTTGTTTTAAAATTCTTTTTTCGGAAGAAATACATTATATTGTAGAAATACGGGTGATTAACATGCCATCTTTCGGCTTACTGGTCCATCGATTTTGATGACCTTACGACTGATATAATCACACAAACACTTCCGAGATTAAAAAAGAGTAACTATGCCGACGCATAAGGCAGTCGCGTTAAGTAGACAAACAATTTTTAAGAAGCAAGGCAAGAAAAAACTACGAAAAACAATACAGGCGAGATAATAGGACGACGGAGAGTTCGCTGTAAAAAAACGGTAACACTAATTCGATGCAAATGCAGCAATAAATTAAATCAATAGGAGCCGAGCGTTTTCAAGACTTTTTCTTTAACCTAATTAGCCTGCCGGACCAAGTTAACATCCTCCTCCAAGCGCATCCCTTCAGAGGATGCTAACTTGCTAGTCTTATGCACGAAATGGTCCAAAATCAGTATTACTGTATCTTGAACTGAAATTTATGTGGTTGAATCTGATTGCATAAATTGCATAATTAGCCAATCAAATTCAAACATGGTGCGGCATTTGAAGTAGAAAAAAATATAAGGTAAAACGACCAATATACAGAACTTTTGTTCTGTTGAAGCCATTTTTAAAGAAAGTTATTTGTACGAGCGAAATTTCACAAGTGATTTGAAATTAATTTGATTATTCGACAAAGTTTCCACGGTCTGGTTAATTTCGGCTAATAATTTTTCTGCTTCAAAAGTTGATTACAATGCCTGCCCATGTTGCTCCAATTTCATTTGCTAAAATTAGTCAATCAGATTCGACAGCAGAATTTTTCACTCAAGATATACACAGAGGCGAAGCGGAGCTTTGCAACCTATTGCGTTACAGCACAAACAAAAAACATTTAAGTAGAAAAACAATATATAGAAAAAATGAAAAAGCCAGGTCTACCTAACTTGTCGTATGCCTCAATAGAAGTTCAATTTGGGCAAAATTTCAAGACTATCAGCAAGGGATCAAAGCTCATGAAGAGGAAACAAAGAAGACTATCTTTGAGCTGACAAGTTTGTCCGAAAAAAAAAAATGATTTTCTCCAAAAGTCACTCTTGAAACTACTATGACCTATACTTGCAACTACAAATAAAGTTGCTTGCAGCACAAATAATCCAAGATTTTATAACTAAGTCCACAATCTTTGAGAAGACACCAACTAATCCGAGAAAAAATGAATTTTTTTTCCGATTTTTTTAAAGTTTCACGTCCCCCCTGAAAATACAATGAACAACACATGCAATTACAACTAATGAAAGTTGCTTACACCGGAAACAAAATCGGTGACGTGGCAACTAAGCCGACAAAACTTAAGCAGACAAGTAAAAGCTCGACAATTCAATATTACCAGAAAATTTTCAATTGCACACATACTGAAAAAAAAAACATGTTCCGACCGGGACTAGAACCCCACCATAGGGTGCTAAGGTGACTGCGTTACTTCAAGGCAAAGTGGGAAGATACCTGGAAGTTGTTAAGCTTCAATAATAAAACAAGTTGAAGATTTGTAAGAAAAATTGTTTAAGGGAAAAAAATCCATGCTTTACAAAGTAAGCCGATAAAAAACAGTACCAAACAAAAAAAATTCTGTTTTGAAAAACGGAAAGTGAGCCGAAGAAAACTTGGCCGAAAACCAATATCCAAAAAAAAAACAAATTATTTGAAAAACTGCCGGAAACGGACTACACCTATTTACTACCTAAATGAAAGTAGTTTCAAATGGAATTTCAAGAAATATAGTATGTTTTGAAATTTATCATTCCTACACAAATGACCATTCTGTGAACAAATTTATTTGCGGGTAAAAAGGGTAGTACCCGATTGCAATACCCTTAAGGGTAGTACCCGATTGCAAGGTTAAAAATATATTTTGGGTCGTTTTGTGCACGAGGCCGAAATTTTCTGTGAGGCGACAGTTCGTAACCGGCAAAAATTCGTAACAGTAGATAAATGGGGAACACTGATTTACGCGCAGTATTCCTCTAATGACGGATGCAAGCGCAGCTCAGCCAAGCGTACTCTGCTTGCCAATGCCGTGTTACGAATTATCGCTGGTAACAAACTCACTTGTTACGATTTGTCGCTTGTTACGAAAAGTCGCTTATTACGAATTTCAGCCAAACATATTCGAGTTTTTTACAAGTCGCCAAGCAATTTAATTCCAAATTGAAAAAAAAATAAGGAGGGGCACTACTAGGGGCCCGGAGATTCGATCCCTTCACTACATAAGAGGTCTTCTCTTTGGTATTAATATGATATCCCTTCTCGGCCGACTGGCCCTAAAACTTTTCAAAAGGGCCAATATATGGTAATTTTATGTGAACTAGCGCCAAAAATGCAATTTTGTGGTCAAAACGTTCCGAAAGTGCTTAAAAACTTCGAAAAGTGACCGAGAATTTTTTTAATTTCGTGCAAATTCGCCTCCCCTTCTCCCCTCGAGAAAATCCTAGATTCACCCCCTGCTTTTTCAGGAGCTTCTTGTACAGTTCGTAGCAGCTAAATTAAATATTTAAAAATTGAGATAATATCATGTGATATGCTTAAAACCCAGTCAGATCAAAACATGCATACAGCAAAAGTCTGATGGCGGAGCCGATCTGTTTAAAAAGATACAAAACAGACCTGCTAGCACGAACTCTGAAAGACTTTATATTCCACTAAAATTTTAATTAACTGAAAAAGTAAACTGAAGCATCAGCTCCGTAACAGGAGTTAGACAAAACTCACAAATGACGATAAGCTACGATAAAGTGCTACTGCTCAGCTTGCACACAACTTTTCCGAAGCCTGACATTATATCGTATTTCAACAAAAACCATTTTAACTGAATTCCAATAAATCATTCAAGATAAAAATATTATTTTTCGTCAATTCACAACCTATCTAAAATGCTGTGTGATCAAAAAATGTGTCAAATGAGTCAAGATAACAACAAAGATATTGTGTCTCTAAACGAAGGAAGCTAATTGTTATACAACTCGGGACAAACTTCAAAACTCTTTGCTGCAATACTAAAACTTAACATAATTCACTGGAATAATGCGGCTAAAATTAGACGACAGTTTTTGGGCCAGATCTCTAATTTAGCCAGAGCTCTTGTGGCTCATCTTGTGTATCGATAGACTCAAATTGAATTTTTAAAAACGGCACTCCGTAAACGTCAGCTAAATAACAGTCAGATCTCTTACTCTACAACCCAAAAATAAGTCTCAAAAAAGAGAGACGCCATGAAAGACCCCAGAGCAGCTGAGCTCCATAGAAGACATGAATTGTTTTAATAACTGCGCTACGAAAAACTTCATGTCTTCATAAACACACAGGGACGGATTAAGGGGGGGGGGGCGGGGGTGGTCGGACGCCCCCCTCTCAGGGATTCGACCCCCTGCCGACCCAAAGGGTCCCCCCTTTGATACTGTTTCAGAAATCCATTTTTGGCCGACCGACCCTAAAATTTTTCTAAAGGCGTCTTTGGCGCCAATATATACTAACTTTGAGGGGGAGCGCGCGCCAAAAAAAACGCGATTTTTTTGTCAAAATTTTTCAAAAAGTGCCCAAAAACGGCTCTTTTGACTGTTTTTTCAGAAATTTGCCTGCGGCGCAGAAAATTTAGCCAAAATGGGGGCAAAAAAGTGCTTTGGAGAGCTCCAAAAATCAATTTGGTCGACCTAAAAAAAAAAAGGTCGTCAAAAAAAATGGTCGTCAAATTCTGAACTTAACACAAAGTCAAAGAAAAAAACCAAAGTGAGCCTTACATTGGAAAAAGTGTTTTCATAATAACACACGCGTCACTTGTAAAAAAAAATATTGGCCTTGCACTCGAAACGAGCAAAGGCAAGTATGTAGTTGATCAACATTTCTTAAAACCGAATCAAAACATGCCTTTAGAAAACGATGATGATGCAATGCGATCTATTTTGCAAAAGATGCAAACTGATTCCATTACAATTTTATGCAGAACAATTTCATTGAAGCTTCAGCCCAATAAAAGCATGATCGGCAATCGCTTCCCACTCAAACGAATGGCTATCAATCAAATCAAGTGCGTCTAATTACGGCTGCTACGATTGGATATTAAGTTTTCGAAGTCTAACAATTAGCCCCCATCCGATTCAATATTGCCCTCCTTGAAATTGTGTACGCAAAAAAAAACGCCTCGGAAAGCAAAAGGATTACGCAAATACGAGATTCAAACCCCTGAGATCTATGTAAAGATTCATCGCCCTAATAACTGCGCAAAACAAAATTCCTGTTTTCATAAAAACAGTCAGCATTTAAGAAGCATAGCTTAAGCGTTTATAGCTCATGCTATTTCAAACATAGCCAACAGAAATTTGTAAAAGAGTCCAAAAACACTGACTTGCTTTTTTCAATTTCAAAAAAAAACAAGATGGCCTTTAATCTCATGGAACCTCTAGACCCATTTATGATTGCTCTATTTTTGACAAAATTAACCCAGCTTTTTCTTTTTATTCCGCTGGGAAATCTGAAAAATTAAATTCACATGCAAAATTAGAAGTCGATCGCACTTTTCCTGCCCTTTGCACTATTTCTATTCGATAGTGGAGTCTGCCTTCCTTTCAACAAAATAAAATAACTTTGCTTAAGAAATCAAACGTCACACGGCGAAAAATCATATTTGAGCCTAGACAAATTTCAAGACTTCCAGAAAAAAATCATCACAATTTTTATAACTGTCTTCACTGTAATCATCGACTCTTAATTAAAGCTAAATAGTAGACAGAAAATCACCAAAACAATAAGTAAGGCCTGCATTGAAAAAAATTGCACTCATATAGTAAAACACAAGGGTTGCTCGCATCAGTAGATTGGTCTTAACCATTTGCCAAACAAGAAAAATTTAGGTTGATAATCAAGTTAAAAATGCTAAAAACCGCATCAACCAAAATATTTAGATCATGGCTAACAGACAGTTGGAAAAAAGCAAATGACGGCTCGCTAGCAACCAAAAACAAACATGGCTGACTTGTATTTTCTTTATTTCAACTTTCAAGTTCAAAAAAAAGATGGCTTTGAAGCTCTCTGAATTTCTTGAACAACACATGGCTGACACTTATTTGATAAATTAACCCAATTTGAGAAAGCATGATCAACAGGTAAATTTTCTATTCCGCTCTAAAACCTGAAAAATATAACTACTTTCGTATTTAGAAGTCCATCACGTTTTTTGACTTTTACACTTTTTATGTTCGATAGTGGCGTTTGCCGTCCTTTTTTTAAGGAAATGAACTGAATTTAAAGTGAAAGCAGCACTCAAAATGTGAAAAATCAAATTTGAGCCTGAACAAATTTTAAAGCTTCTCCTGAAAACAAAAACTAATAATCGTCACGACCTATACAGAAGTCTTCACTATTCACTACGTTCATCGACTTTTAAACAAACATCAAAAAGGCTATAAAGCAGACAAAAATTAACAACAATGAATAAGACCTACAATGAAAAAAAAACTGTACTCGTATAGATCATAGCTAACAGATTGGCCATCAATTGCAAAACGAGCGAGGTTAGGTTGATAGTCGAATTTAAAAACCGTAAAACCGAGGCCAATTAAACTTTTAGGTCATCGCTAACAGACAGTTGGAAAAAAGCCAGCGAACGCTAGAAAACGGAAAAAAAACATGGCAGACTTCTTTTTTTTCTGAAAAATTTCAGCTTTCAAATTTCAATTGAAAAAATGTATGGCCTTGAAGCTCTTTGAATTTGCAGAACCATTTATGATAGACACTGTTGGTAAAAAATATTCACCCAGTTCGAGAAAATTGGATCAATAGATAAACTTGTTATTCCTCTTGTCAACCTATAAACTTAAATCCACTTTTAAACCTGAAAATCACAACTTTTCACGCCAGTGCCGCAATCATGATTGGAGCGCGCAGTTTGCTCTCCTTTTAGCAAATAAACTTGAAAAAATGGCGTGATTAAATTTTTCTTTAAAAAAAAAACGATTAAAAACTCACCACCCTATATACATGTCTTCACAACATTTACTGACACGAAAGAAAAAGATTTTGAAAAATGAAAACTATAAGCCGATCACAGGAGTAGAACCAACAAAACAAAAAAGCCAAAATCTAAATCTAAAACCTACTTCAACTCAACCACCACTCCGAAAAATCTTGGACTTCCTTGAAAAACTCAAAACCGACTGCAAAAAAGGCAAACAAAAAACTTCTATGCTAAAACCGCTTGAAGGAAGCACGCATAAAACAATGATCAGACCGCTTCTCAAATACGCCACTCCAGCGTGTTCGTATGCGGCGGGCGCAGATTCCATCAACTACAAATTGTGCAAAATGCAGCCCTCAGTACTGTCAGTGGATACTCGAAAATGACAAAAATCGATTACTTCGACACAACGCCACACACTGCCAATCTCCTCTCCTTGCATTACTTCATAAAGTTGCTCTTGATTGTTCGTTCTGGGCAAAAAGCACACGAATTAAACCGTCTTTCAAGCGTTGCTCCGAACCTTTTGAAAGATTGTCTCGTCTGGCAGATCCAAACTAGTATATCGACACAGAACGGCACATAGAAGCCGCTCCAAAAAGTCATACAAGCAAGAGCAGTGTACAATTACGGATGGTTCTCTAAAACAAGCTCCCCCAATATCATTTCGTGAACTAATACTAAAAACAAGCTCCGCTGCACCTTGGCACAACTTCGCTCCGGTAAATCCCCTCTTGAACTATAATTTCGACTGGCTAGACATCATTACTCCCAGACGAATGTCCAGAGTACAACTCTCCTCGCCATCATGAGACCAACCACGTCAACTCATGTCACTCAAATTCTACTCTAACTAATTACTATCTTTCCCTGAACCAAACGACTGAACCCTATTTGCAGCAAACCAGTTGCGCCTACTCCTGATGGTCAGTTTCAGCTCAACACTAGTATGTCATCAAGATTTTGACACCACTGCTCTTTGACACCAGAATGGGGTTAAATTTAAGGGACATTTCTGAGTAGGTAAGACATGCGGCCTTTAATACAAAGGTCCTGGGTTCGACTCCCGCTTCAGTCATGGCTAGTGTGTCAGTTTCATCCACATCCTCAAGGTGGGATCGACAAAGGCTAAATGGTTGACATCTCTCTCCCCCATGGAAGAAAGCCCAAAGGTAGAACGGCGGAAGTAGGGCCAGAGGCTAAAAAAACACCAGAAACAGCGGCGGACCCAGTTACTAGACACAGGATGCTCCGTTCTACAAAAAGTCAACCTGACGAGCAGTTTGGGTCTTGGCTGAGAAAAAGTCCAACAAATGACTAAAGAAGTACTAAATATCAACCAAACAAAGTAAAATATCATCACACAGAGGCGAAGCAGAGAAATAGATTTTTATCTATTGTCAAAAAAGTTAGAGAAATTACAAAAAGGGCGAAAAACTCCTGGAACAGCATTACCTGCACCAGTAGAAACGAAATTTTATTAAGAGCTAAAAAGAAGCTGAAACTTTCTGCGTCCACAAAAAATTTTCAGTTTCAACAAAAAAACAGGTCCTGACTGAAAACTAACATCTGGGATTTGTCGTCTCAAGCATGGATGTTATCACTTCACCAAATGAGAACACTCTTTGAATTTAAAAAGAAATCAACTCCCTAAAATTTTTAATTAACATGAAAAAAATAGCAAACAAAAGAGTCAACACTCAATTATTAGCCCAAAACCGAAATACTTTTTAATTTGATTAAAATTTGCCTAAATTATAGGCCAAATTTGGTGCTGCTGCAACTAAGCCGACAAAAAAGACAAACAGAAGTTCAACAAATGTTTTTTTTTGTAGCGCGGATTTTGTAACAAATTTTCAGCTTACAAAAAAAACAGGTCCCGGTCGGATTCGAACCACTTACCTTTTTCTTTATAGGCAGGTGCGTTAGTTTTTTTGCCACATAAGCGAAGTAACGTAATAAAAAAGTAGTGAACAAGTGGGGGCAGCCAATGTAGACGATACTTCACAGAAACAAACGATGCGCAGCACAAAAAGAAGCTGCAACAAGAACACCACTCTCCCAAGCTCGCTTCTGTAATTAACTATAATCACTTTAATACGATCTTTCAATTTTAACCACTGTATAGCGATTGAAAAACTTACCGATTGTTCTGAAAATGACAGGATTCCATCTTAAAAGCGAAAAGCCAATTTCAAATTTTGGCTGAGCGCTTTCAATGATGGTTGATGGTAGGAAAAATCGAGTCTCTCTCCGGATAGTTTCACAAACCCTTCAGAAAGATTCTCAATTGGATTTTAGATTACAATGGCAGTGTTTGTATAAGAACTGGGGTAGAATTTAATAGTTAACACTTTCATTTGCAAGTTAGGTTAGAAATGATCGGGCAAAACCCATTCCAGTTACAGCTTTACTTGAAAGAGAGGAAAAACTATACTTACGTTATGTGATAAGTGCAATAATGGTAGTTGTAGAAATTCGATTTCAGCTTCTTCATTTCGAACGTCAATGAGGAGCCATCTGAAATACAAAATTTGTTTGAATTTGATTCTTAACACGCATTTTGACGGATGAAATTTGAGGCAATGATTTAATTATTGGAGCATTGAATTTAAAATTCTTCCGGTCAAAAACAAGGCAAAAATGCAATATCTTACAGAGAGGCGAAGCGGAGCTTCGCGCCACTTGCGATAAAAAAAATAAAAAAAAAATTAAACTGAAAAAAAATAATAATTTGAAAATGTCGAATATTGACGCAGTAAAAAAGTAGAAACAGGAAAATTAAGTTGTACATTCAAATTAAGTTGTACATCCTTTTGAACTCGTTTGAATACCAGGGTGGTTAGTGAGCTTGAGAAACCGTCAATTCAAGAACTATCAGAGATACTGAACTCATTTTTGCCTAGATTATTATTGCGTATGGGTATCTATACGATTGAAGGTTAGTGCAAGAACAATTACTCACTGCTTGATTCAGTGGTACAGGATGAGACGAGAGTATCCAGTACAATGTAGAGGGCGTCTGCGTGGAAGATGAGGTACTTGGCGATGGAGGGGACTGTGAATATCTGCACTGTCAGTGCCGACACTGAGGTGTTGTGGTGATGCTCATCGTTCGCGTAGTCCTTCATTATACGGTTGTAGTGCTGAAAAAAGACAATCAATGTCATTCACAGGCGAATTAACATATTTGCATCCCTAGAACATGGTCAACTGAATGTTAGAAAATCATTATGGAACAAAGAAACCGCAAAACCAATTTTGAAATATTTGCCGCAAAACACAATCTACATTGCATATCGGCCAGGTTTGAAACATAGCAACGGCCGGTTGGAAAAAAGTCAATCAAAGCAAGTAAACAGAAAAAACACTGAATTGTTTTTGAAAATTTTCAACTTTCAAATTTCAAACAAATAAGATGGCCTTAACGCTCTTTGAACAATTTATGATTGACAATATTTTGATTAAAAAAAGGAACTGATTTAAAAAACTAGATCAATAGATAAAAAAACCTTGACAAATTGAGAATTTCTGAGAAAACATTTAACATAAATATCTTTGAAATTAGCGAAATATTTCATCTAGTTTCATAAAGCTAACCCAATTAGAGGAAACTGGGTCAACAGTTTTCTGCTGGGAAAAGTAAAGTAACCAGATGCACTCTGGTTACAATTTTCCGCGCCATTTGCAATCATAGAGGACAACTTGTCTTCCTTTGAGCAAATTAATTTGAGTTGATAAAAAACAATCATACCGCAAAAAAAATCAAAATTGATTGTAAAAACCTTTTAAGACTTAACCCTCAAAAGGAAAACTTAGCCAACAAACAGTTGGAAAAGAGTCAATGAACGCAAAGAAACAGAAAAAGAATTGACTTGTTTTTTTTTAAAAAAAACTTCAGCTTTTGAAGTTCAAACAAAAAATGAACTGAGATATAAAACCCGAAGTCATACTGCTAAAAAAAAATCGAACAAATTATTAGTCTTTTTTCTTTAAAAAAATGTATATTCCCTTGAAGCTCTTTTAATTTCATCAACAATTTATGATTGACACGTTTTTGATAAAATTAACCCAATTTCAGAAAACTGCATCACTTGGTTAAACTTTTTATCCGCTGGGAAATCAAACTCCACTTTGGAAACTAGAAGTCTTTTTAAGTTTTTTTTTTGCTTCATTTACGCTTTCTTTTTGGAGAATGCATTTTGCCTGCTTTCCAGCAAATGATTTTAAATTGAACTCAGAAAATGCACTATGCACATAAACCTAAGGTAATTCAAATGTGCATTTAAAAGTATGAACACACTTCTTTTGTTATTAGACCTCTTTAAGATTATTCCTGAAAACAAAAACGGGAAAAAAAGCATCACGGCCTATAGAAGATTCTGCACTATGTTCAATGACTAATTCACAATCACAATCAGTGCAAGCATTTTATGTCAGTATATTTCATTTAAAAAATTCAACGCTACTGAAATGGGAAAACTGAAAATGTTTTGAGAATTTATTCACAGATATGTTTCGAATAGAAAATCTGCATCCCTGATTTTACAAAAAAAAACTTGAATATTATCCAGTTTGAAACGCTATCAATTTTCAAAAAATTATACGACTAGATTTAATCTTTTCTGCAATCATATAGTTATTGGTTAATCGCCAGTAATCGTGGCCAATAATGAAGCACAGCCAATTGACTATAAATTGTAAGTGACCTTACGAAAGCCAAAAAAGTTACTTCATATAGCATTTTGAAAAAAGGAGATAATTTTTCGCCCAGCTTTTTGCACATTTGTTATTCGAGAGCAAAGCCTAATTTGAAGTGCATTAAGACAGAAACTAAGTCAAACCGCTCGAAAACAATTTTTGGGTAACATTTGTTAGACTTTTTCAGAAAAAAAACAATAAAATAACATGATCTAAATAAGAAAAATTCAATTCATTCATTATTACAAGACAAACTGCATAAAACGCTTTTTATTTTCGAGCAGCTATATGATGGATGCCTTTTGGATTGAACTAACACCCAATTGAAACATAATAATTTTATAGCTACAAAGCAGAAGCGAGTCACTCCATTAGAAAAAAATTAGCCCAATATTGAATCATTATTTTTACAACACGATTCTTGTTCGATTTGAATGTTCACGTCCTAATTTAAGAAAAGTCCACTTCTTTTATTAACAGTTCGAAACAGAAAACAAACCATTGCATACATTCACCATCGGAACAACCTAATAAACGAGACAAGCAGATTGTTATCTTCGCCTAATACATGCCCATAACTTTTTCGTCACGTCACTAGTACGGTCTGAAAAAATAATTAGGGCTCGTTAAAGTATCTGATATCAAGCCCCAATATCAAACACAGAAGCCACGCTGAGCTTCGTACTACTTGCCTTCAACAATTATAGGATGAAACTACTTGCCTTCAACAATTATAGGATGAAAGCAACATGACGCTCTAAAATTAGCAAACAACTTCGAACAAGGCTACAATTGACTCAGGAAGTGGAAAACTAAAAAACATTTTAAAAAATGCATTTTTAGTTGAAACTTATTTAAATTTTTCAAAGAAGTCCGAGTGGGCTTGACTAAGTTCAAAAATAGTGAGAAAGTCTTATCGATGTCAAAAGTACTGCCGGACATACAGTGGAAAGTTTGGTAAATAAGCCCACTGAAATAAAGAAGAAGTCGATCACGTTTTTAGGAACCTTTACTTTTTTTGCTGTTCGATAGTGGAGTTTGCCTTTCTTTTAATAAAAGAATTCAAAAGCAAAACCACTAAAAAGTAAAATTGAACCAGAACAAATTTTAGGACTTTTCGTGAAACAAAAACTCACAAAAAATGATCATCGTGACCTATATAGGAGTCTGAACGAAGTTCATCGACTCTTAAAAAAACTTCATCGGCATGCTTAATTGGAAACAAAACAATTTCAAAATCTTTTTAATAATTCCGCCCAATATTTTCATATCAATTTCTTGAACTGAAACTATAGTTCTTTAAATTGAATGGCTAAAATAGCCACTCGGATTTAAGCGGCAGTTTGATATATTCTGTTTACAATTTTTGGCGGACAAACAAATCAGTTGAATTGACCGAATATGTAGATTTTCTGTCAAATGATCGAAGTAAACTCAAATCACCAGTTGAATCTGGCCCGGTCTAGAAAAAGAAGAAATAGTTTGAAGAGGAAAAAACATTTTGAACACCGACACATTTGCTCAAATAGGTTCGCTAGTTGGGCCTTGCTGGCAATCGGCTAAAGTAAAAAAAATCTGTGAATCAGAACTATTTTTCACAAGATTTGAGCACTCATATTTAGAGGCAAGATTTGCAACGCTTGAGAACCTGCGAATACTCTGACAGCCCCCACTACAGAAGAATTGGGATCTGCGAATTTTTAAGAAAAAAATAAATTTGAGTTTTCTGAAATTTTTTTGAAAAAATCACACAAGTCATATCTGGAAAATAACAAGGTTTTTAGCGGTCATATTTGTAGGAAAAAATTGCAACTCCTGAGAGTACCCTGACAGAGCCTCACTATACAGATGAGAACTTTTTTTAGATGAGAACTATACAGATGAGAACTATACAGATAAGAAGTTTTTTATATCTAAGTTCTCTGAAAAATTTTGAAAAATCCTGAAAAACATCATATCTCGAAAACTACAAGGACTTGAGCAGTCATATTCAAAGGCGAATATCGCAACTCCTGAAAGTGCCCTCACAGTTTCCAAGAACGGGATTGAGATTTTCCAAGTTTTAAAATCTAAGTTTTATTGAAAATGTTCGAAAAAATCATGAAAAATGTCTATCTCGAAAACTACAGGGACTGACAATTCGGAATTGGAGGCAAGATTTGCAACCCCTCAGAGTACCCTGACAGCACCCAAATAGAGTGTGAGAATTTCCACAGGGTGAGAAAAATCTCGAAAATTGCCGTATCTCTTAAACTAAAAGAGTTTGGTTATTCATATATGGAGGCCAGAATAGCAAAACCTGTAAAGACCCTGAAAGCATCCCACTAATGGAGTGCTGATTTCAAAGTTGATGAAACAAACACTGAACTTAAACTGGAAAATCGAAAAAAATCTTAACCATTGCAATATATGATATAGTTTAAACGTGAAAAAATTCTTTCGTTAAACATGCAAAACTATATGCTTAAACATGGGAGATAGCTGTCACACGCATTTAAATATAGTTTAGATAGCAAATTAGCTGAAACTCAGTCAAAATTTTCGCCAAAAATCATATTGTAAATAACTGCGGTTAACGCCGACACAGGATCCACGATAGCTATATAAATGGCGCGTGCAAAGTGGACTTCAATAATTGGAACCTAGAAAACATGAAGCCGAAAAATCATGAGCTAAATTAGTATCGAAACTCATTAAACATACAATGGTTTGATAATGATTCAACTTATATAAGCTTAACTTGTACCCACCCAGTAGTTAAGTTTAAATTTTCGTGAAATAGAGCATGCCAGCTGCATAGCAGCATCACTAGTGATTCAACTTATTTTGTTAAAATAGCTGTTAACCCAAAAAAAAAGTTGATATTCCGATTTAATAACGCTTGCTAACCGCAAGCGTAAGGACTGCGATATCATTATAACGTTGTGTTGAATATGCGTAAAATAAATAAACTTTTCCAATTAAGGGCAACTTAACTTCTTGAACATAATCACTTGCACACAACCTGAACACACAAAATAGGAAATTTCACACAGGAGCGAAGTTGCACTTCGCATACACAAGCAAAAATATGAACAAAATGCTACTGGGAAAAACTGAATGAGTAAAACTTTGAGTCAAAAAAATGTCTGTAGAAGTCTACAAAATTTCAAGTGATTCACGCCAATTATGCGTCTACATAATTGCTAAGTGACGCAAGCCACTTATGACGCATTAGCAGTACCGGTCTATTTGGGAAAAAAAAGAAATTTACCAACTAACATGCCTCAATTTATAGAGCGGACGCATTTTAAATAGCATACGAAAAAATTCATTTAAAACATCCGACCTTGCCCAGATTTGAACCCTCTTATTTTGTTGCGGGTGTCCTTCCCTGCCTCTATGCTACAGATCCATGATAGCTTGAAGCTAAAGTGCTATTAGTAATAGATAAATCTGTGTTAATATCCTTTGCATTGGCTGAACTTAATAGCTGGTTATTAGTCAAAATGAACACTTTCAAAATGAACACATTTTATCGCAACAATATTCGCGACTTAGGTTGGAAAAAAAGTGTTCATACTATAACACAAGCTTTGTTTGTGTAAATACAGTAATAAAAGCATATATCAACGATCGAGGTGTCAAATGATTCAAGTGATTTTGTAGAACTAGTTAACCTGAAAAAAATCTATATTCCAATTTGCTTACGCTTGTTTTAGGCGAAAATAATCATATTTTACGTACGAAGCCATTTTCTTTCAAATCTTTAACTTACCGTTACAAAATAGATGGCAAATTGTTTCTTGTGGTCCGAGTCGATCAGAAAGGTCTTGATCAACATCCCATGCCAGTCTGACCGCACACCTGAAACACGATTCCGCTGAGCAACAGAGCCCCAGATAATATGGAAAAACATAGTCAAAAGACAGTTGGAAAAGAGTCAATGAATACAAAAAAAATAGAAAAAACTTTACTTACTTTTTGAAGAAAAAAAACGTCAGCTTTCCAATTTCGAACGAAAAAGCATATGGCCTTAAAGCTCTTTGAATTACAAGAGCAATTTATATTCGGCACTTTTTTGATTAAATTAACCCAATTTGAGAAAACTGGATTATAAGAAAAAGTTTTCGTTCCGCTGGAAAATCTAAAAATCAAATTCCACTTACGAAACTAGACGTTTTTTTTCACCATTTCAGCTTTCTTTCTTATTTAAGAGTGCATTTTGCCTGCTTTTTAGCCAATGCACTTGAATTGAACTCAAAAACTACACAGATACTTAATGGCATTCATATGCGCATTCTTACGCTTGCATGCACTTCTTTTGTTATTAGAGCATTTAAGACTTTTTCTTTAAAAAAACGAAATCATCACGACCTATGTAAGAGTCTGAACAAGTTCCTCGACTCTTAATAAGCAAATGTGTAGCGACTTCCCATGCTTCAGTCATTCATTGAAAAAATACGGATCCCAGTAACCACACCCTTGTAGTCATAAAAGTGACCAACTGTCAGTTCTTCGATATCTAACTCTTAAATGTGCAATATGTTAAATAGTGGAAAACAACGACTGAGGAGAAGGATAGAATAGACAAACTGACTTTTCCACAGTCTCGTGTCATTGAGGAGAGTCGTTTCCAGAATAATAGTCTGTCCAGGCTTGTAGTTTTCACTCAGTAGCAAATCACAGAAGATTCTTCTGAATTGGCCTGCAACATTCAAGGTACATTTTCAGCAAGATAAGACAGACAGGTTACACAAGAAGGCATCTTATTCTAGCATCACGGTGCCATTCGCTAATGACCGGATTACATAGCGGGTCGCATAATGCTCCTTTTTAACCTTTTCATCCATCATATACATATTGGTTACTCGTCGGTAACGATAACCAATAATGAAATATAACCAGCAATAACCAACTGATTAAAAATTTGTCAATAACATCACAAAAGCTGAAGGAACTACTGACTTTATAAAGCATTTTTTCTTTTGAAAAAGAGATTAAGGAGAGGTGTTTGAATTAAAAGAACCTTTTCGCACCACAAGTTTTATCATTAAAATAACTTTGAAAGATCTAAATAAATAGTTTTTTTTTGAATTTCGTAACGCTCGCCGTTTCTAATGGCATGACAATTTGACCGTTGATTTCAGTAGGGATACAAAACAGAAGAAACTACCCAGTACACAAACCTAATTTAGAAGTTATTTTCACCATCCACTGAAGCAGTTTCTGCACAACATTCTGCATGTTAAACAGTGTCTCCATCATCACCAGGATGTGGATGGGTTTCTTGCGGGACAGAGTCGCAGACGCTTTTTTGATTCCGTCGTCTATTTTTGTGCGCACCTTCTCACACTCGCTCACTCTTCCGCGAAACACGAGGTGTCTGCCCTCTTTGTCAACTGCAGTCGCAACAGCTTTCGCCCGAGTGCTGTCACACAGCAGAGCCCTCTTCAGCGATTCAATAACCTAAATATATATGTGAAGATCTCCAGATCTTTTTTGGGATTTCGTTGACAATTACTGCATAACAAAAATAGGGGAGAAATTTAGGTATAAATGGGACTTTTCTAATTTCATTATGGGAAAAGAAAACTATTTCGAAATTAACTTTTATGACTTCGCTTTTTAAAAAGATAGAGCTATTTAACTGAGACTACAAATCTCTCATTAATTAAAATTTAAAAACTTGAAAATTTGTAACTTATAATTTTTAACTCAAAAATGTTAAAAGCCGCAGAATATAAGTCTTGAAGTAGTTGGTAGTACCTGTTCGAAGGTGTGCAGTTCGTCATTGTACAGCACTACACACTGTTCATCACTCCCATTTGGCGCATGAGAGGGGTCGAATTTGTCAGTGTAAATGCTGAGATAGAAGATGAACTGGTCCACAATCAAGCGCAACATCGTCTTCACTCTCACGTGCACTTCATCTGGCAGAAGACTAGTCTCACCATCCTGCAACATACACATGATAACATATTAATTTTTTTAGCCCCTGGTCCTACTCAATGCAGGACCAACCGTGGGGGAAGATGGATTTCATCCATTTCGTTGCAGTCGGTCCCACCTTGAGGAGGCGGATGGCATTGAGACCTCTCCAACCGTGACCGAAGAGGGATTCGAATACAAGACCTCCAAAGTGAGAGACAAGTGCCTTACCCACTCGGCCTTACAATAACTTCAATCACAATTTGATTGAGCAAAGGGTAGCCTTTTCGTCAATCGTGATCCAATTTTTCAGCAGTGTGCCGACGAGGAGGGGTCGAAATATCACTTCAACTCCGATTTATGTAACCTTTTCGCAAGGACAATCATTAAGTTTTTCCCGACTATAAACTTATTTTTAGGGAGGCGCGCTCCGAATTAGAAATTATGAGTCAATGATAATACTGTAACTTTCTTTCAATCTCCGCAAATTCATGAGAAAATTTTATTTACAAATCATCGTACAAATCTATTCGGGTGAAATACGAGATCAGTTTCAGTTTTGTAGCTTCTACGTCACGGCAGCTATTTTTTATGCTTTTGTACTGAATTCGATTCTTGCGGGCATTATTTCAAACAAGATGTGGAGCGAATTTTCTTTACTTGTTTTGAATAGCTTTTCGTTATTAACTTTAACCAATTCTTGCCTGACTTTTCCCTGTTTGCTCTGACTTTATAACATGAAGTTGCCTGACTTTAATAGCTTCGGATTATTTTTGAGCTAGATTGAACCATCAAACAAGCTTTATTTCTTATACTCAATTTCCACATAAATCATATCCTGCTTCCAGAAATTGAACAACCAAATTTCAAACAATTAGTTATTATAACTGTTTATGTACAAACATAAGTGGTGAAAAAATCCCTGGCAATTTTCAAATCTCTGACCATTTCTGACTATTTTCAGATTATCTCACTTTTCCAGATTTTCCCTAAATTCCATGAACTATGGGACCCATGGATAATGCACGATTTTGATCTCAATCATTACTGTAGAACTAAAAAGCCTTCATTACCCCAATTACAATAATATACGCTAATACAGGCAGCACTAAATTTTGTCAAAAGTCTTCAGTCCATTTAGGTTGAAACCGAAATATTGTACTTATTTAATCAAGTAAAGATTGATTCAAAATGTGGTTTGAGCGATTACTTACACAGAGGCAAAGCGAGAAACCGTCAAAAAAGCAGCTCTTAAAAGATAAGAAAAGATGAAAAACGCAAAGAAGATTTAAAGTCCCCTGCCCTCGCATTTGCGTCACGGGCCCTCGACAATTTACTAACGCTGGCCACGAATATGCCATTAAATTGCCCAAGCAATGCAGCAAAAGTGGCACCAAATACAAATAGACACAATTTTGCATGTACTATTTAGGAATATAAAAAACTGAAGGCATCCACTTACATTCCAAGCATAAAGCAAAACAAAGTATAATTGGGTTTCGAAAAAAATTGCGAGATAGACTGAATTGGAAAATTTCTGACACCGAGTTTTTTTCGGTGTGTTGAAACAAATAGCTTTTTTCAATTCACTGGATGAATTAAAAATGTATCTACTGTGTAAACTTATTACTAATCGAATGAGAGAGAGCACATGCTATCAAGTTATCAGAAAGTCTTAAGTGTGCAGTTAAAAGTGGCACCAACACTTGCGACTTAAGTTGTAAAAATAGAAAAGTCGTACTATTACACTAAGCTCGCGATTGTAATCATGAATTGGTAGCCAGGTAATTTCATCTCTCGTTATTCTTAGTATTTTTATGACCAGAAGCTCGTATGATTTCTCTAAAATTAACTAGAAGCTCGTATGATTTCCTCGGACAGAAAACGAAGCTATTTGTTTCACATTATTTTCTTAAATGCTCAACACCCTCTTTCGCCGGATCAAATCAATTCCGTATTCCAGGAAAGCACGGCGTTTTGTCGTCAGAAAACTTGATGAGGAATTTTTGTGTCTACCCCCCCCCCCCCCCAGGTTTAGGCTTCTTGTAGCAATATTGAAAAGTAGATGTGCCATCACTGCACCTTGTGTTACTCTATGATTGACCGGGAAATATTGTGATGTTCCTAAATTACGCGTGCAATGCGAACTAAAACTCAAATTTAGCGTCCCTTAAGAGCCCTAAAAATTCATTTCGGTCCAATTTTTTCTCACATTCTCTTGCGTCGCAGCCAATTAAAGAGTGTGAATTAATAAACCAGCCAACAGTTGCGTTATTAGTTGAAAGATGGTTGATTTTTGGGACCCCGGTGATTTTTCTCAGGCCCCATTCCACACATTGACCAAGTAACTACTTTTACCCTCCGAAACAAATAACAGAGAAGTAATAAAGCGGCAATTGAATGAAATAAACTCCCCTTTCCCCAAATCACTTGAATTGGGGAGAGAACGTTCACATTGTCCAATTTTCCTAACAGTTACAGCCTTGTTTTAATTAATACTTATGTAACTGATCACTATTTTCGGCTGTTTATCTTTCGGGTGGTTTATACACTGCTCTTACCAGAATGAACTTGGCTTTTTTGTAGGAACAAGAAACTATTGCCTTACCGGGCAATCTTCTGTGGGTTGATGATGGGAGCAATAGGGGTGGGTCTTCCAGGCCTCCTCGTCCCCACAATCACAGCACCCTCCTCCCGACGAAGTTCCGATTCTGTACTTATGCGTCTGATGCTCACTTGCCTGGAAACACTGCGCGCACAACACACACGTCGGATCGACCGAGCACTCACGACACGAGTAGTGCGGCTCGCCATTGCTGAAAATCCGACCACATTTGATCGGTTTTTGCTTATTCGTTTTCTCGAACTCAGCCGCGAAATCGTCCAACGTTTTGCAATTGCCAAACACAAACTGCTCAATAGGAACAATTAACGATTCGCTGAAAACTTCTTCGCCCTCAGGCGATTCCAGCGGCACTTCTTTAGTAAACTTTGTCGACACACTCACGCAAAGCTGGTTAAAAAACTCCCTCAGTTTACCCGACTGAAAAGATTTCTCAAGGTTGCGAGACGTAAGTTCGAATCCGACAACACTCAAATTGTCATTATCAGAGTTGACCACTCTATCTGAGATGGACTCCTCGGATGAGTCAACCGATTTCTGCATTGACAAATTTTGCATGGCAAAAACAGCTTGGCAAAAATAAACAGCGGTTATGTTATAGTGCTGAGGTACATATTAGTCCAACTGAAAGCATGTAAATTATGAAACCATGGTAACTGCTATGATTGCTTGTCGCCTTTTAAATTTCATTATCACAAAAGCTTAAAAAATAATAATTCCCTAGAAAAAATGAATATAGAAATTGTTTTGTAAATTGGATTATTTCGGCAGTCCGTGTAACATTCCAATTTTCACAGTCCCTTTTAAACAAAATAATTGATCACAAAAAAAGAGCAAGAGTAGCAAGTAACACCGAATATTACTGTGCAAGTAACACAGAATATTTCGACCAGTTATCACTGCAAATTAAACAATTTTTTAAAAATATATAATCTTACTTGACCATCTTAAGGTTTTTTCTGGAACTCAAAAACGGCCGGAAGAAAACATAGCTAAATTCAATTATTTGTTTAATATTTTCACTATTTAAAAATTCTAGGTTGATTAAAATTTTCCACAATTCATTTAAAGAATTCAATCACTCCCATAAATAACCAAAGAAAGTTATTCGAAAAAAAACATAAGGAAAAAACCGACAGAATTGAAGCCAACCGATCAGTGCCAAAATTATACCAAAAAAAATTATAAAACTCATTTGCAATTCTTAACGTCACACAACTAAATGCCGCGTCGTAACTGAATGGAGCTAATACTGTTACCACGTTATTAAGCAACCATGCCCTTTCACCATTTGACTATTCTATGCCTAAAGTTATTTACGAGAAAAAAGTCTATTACCCGATTGCAATATACTTGCTTATCGCAGGGGTAAAAAATGGAAAAAAATGTAAAATAATTTCAGAAACCGTCAGAAAACACAACCACCAGTATTAAATAATCTACAACAATAAGCCGACAACAAGTGCTAGACGCCTAGTTGGACAAAAAGAAAAAAAAATGCCATAAAAAATTGTCAAAAAAAATTTGAGCAATTAAGTTTCAAAATACAAACTACCTGAATTTTTATTTTTAAAAAACATCGATCAAATTTTGCCCTGGAAGCGTCACAAAACAAGATAACTTAGTCGATAAAAACATAAGCCAAAAAACCTGCGATAAAAATTGCTGACAGCACAAGAAAAATCTCCGATGTTGCAACTAAGCCGACAAGCAAAAGCAGATTTACAAAAGCCCGACATTTCAATTTTTACCGGAAAAAATTTCAATTTCACAAATACTAAAAAACAAGGTCCGACCGGGACTCCAACCCCAGATCTAAGGGTACCAAGAAAAGCAAGTAAGACTTGTAAAAAAAAAGTAAGAAAAGCAAGAAAGACAAGCAAAAAAATCTGGTTCTCGATTACAAGACACTTGCTCTCGCACATGTAAACATATGTAAAGTTTTTACATTTCTGTGAACAAAATTCTTCGCGGTGAAAGTCATAGTACCGGGTTGCAACACCCTTGATTATTGCAACAATAAAGAAATAACTCATCTTCATCTTCACATCTTTACAATTAACTTTGAAAAAAGACTGACAGACCTGAGATGCTATGAAACTTCTTGCATTGATACTTTGAGATATGATAGGCTCAAAACAAGCAATCAAAGTCAACGAAGATGATGACTATGCTGTAATAGTAGACACAGCAGACAGAGACATTTCATCTTGGACCTTTGATATCTTTTACTTTTTAAAAACAAATATGGATAACTTCAACATTAATGTTAATCCAAATGAAATCAGCTTGTTGAGCATTAAGCATCAATTTATCTGAACTCTTCGAAAACGATTCCATTCAACGTAAACGACACAGAAGTCTCAGACTTGTTATTGACTTGATGAATTAATCAGAGGAAACCAAAATATTTCAACGCTCCCCGCTTCAAAAACAAAGCTGAGCGTAAAAGTTCAAAGACAAAAATCAGGAAGATAAAATTAGGCCATAAGAAGTTTGCAATATAGTGATAAGTGATGTATCAGATTCTCATTCTCCTCAGCTACCATTGACTTCTATTTTGCCGCATTAGCACTTGTGAACATCTGAGGAGGGGGTCTGTTGTCATAACCTCCTCTAGGTCTTCGATCTCCGGGACCACGGTTGCCAGGACCACCAGATCTAGAGAACTCTTTGCCACCGCCGCCTCCTCCGAAGCCTCTTCCGCCCCCGCCTCCTCGTGAGTAATTGCCGCCTTCTTGTCGATTGCCTCCTTGATTCTGATCGTCTCTGAATTCGTTTCGATAGGGCCGATTCCCGTATCCTCTAGCTTCAAATCCACGTCCACCTCTGTTCATTCCTCGTGAATACTCGTTTCGATAGCCACCGCCACCTCCACCGCCGCGTCCACCGAAATCATTCCTCCCTTGATACCTGTTGTTCATGCCTCCTCTTTGTTTCACTTCAGTGAAATTGTTGTCACCCCCAGATGATCCCATGTTTTTGTCAAACATCTCAGACGCTTCATCAGCCCAACTCTCCGCCGCGGGGAAGGTTCCTTGGGGAGCAGCACTTGATGAAAACATAGTTGCATTGTTGGTCATTGAAGGAGGCAGCGAACTCTTTGGCGGCTCATCATTGATTACATTTCCATTAAAATGGTTAAAAGTATGCGGCACGTTGCTATCCAAATTCATCGTCTGCATGTTTGCGGAGAGATCGGAATAAGTGTCCTGATATCCGCCATTGAAGGTAACCTCGCTAGAGTTGGGAAGGCTCGGGGTCACAACAGGCAGCGTATTTTGCAAATGTCCGAAGTCGTCTTGGACAAAGTTCACAACTCTCCCCTGCAAGCTTCCCAGGATGTCAGCCTGGGTCGATTTCACGTCATGGTTTTCAGCAGTGGGCTCAGCAGGTGGCTTTTCATGATGAGTTTCCAACACTTGTGGCTCAGGTACAGTAACCGGCTCGTGATTGTTGTTGACCTCCGCCGGCATCACCTCTTGCACTTTCTTCTTGGACGAATCGAAGAAGTCACATGACCCAATTGAATCAAACAAAGATTTCATGTCCGTTGATTTCACCTCGCCAGGCTTGTCTTTGCATTCACTTTTCTGCAGCAACTTATGCCAAGAGCCAACGCACTCATCCAAGTTTCTCTTGTATTCTCCCTTCGACTTCAAGTTTCCCTCCGAATCGTATCGAGAAGGCTTAGACGTCATGTACAAGGAGTCAATGGTGGCTAATTGATCCTCAGTCAATAAGAGAGCATTATCAGTTCCACTGGCGAAGTTAGCCCTGACTTTATCATCGCCAAGTTGCTCATAGAGATCCTGAATGTCAAGAACAGAACGAATCGTGGATCTCGTTAGTCTCTCCTTTTCCTTTTCGCGGTCTACCGCTCTCTTCTCAATTCCATTTGATATTTCAAGAAGCACCGGTAGAAGTTCCTGCATGATTGTGGACGCAAAGAAGAGAGTCGCATTCACTTCGTCATATTTTTCAACTGCTTGTTTCTGTCCAGCATCCGTTAATTTACCCTCCTTTTGAAGTGCTCTGTAACTTTCAAGCTTCGACTTTCGCTTCTCCAAATTTCGTACTTTCTTCTCAAAAAACGAGGAGATCGGCTCAAAAACAGCAGGAATATCTCCCTGCTTCCCAGCCGATTCCACGGAACTTTGCTGTTTGACCTTTTTAGCGGGGGCCATGGTTTATGTCATCAACATGCCTGAAAAAATGACTAACATTTTACGAAGGAACGCTAAAAAAAAATAAGCACGGTAACCTATTTTCATGTTAACATTTGATTGTTCATTATCAACATAGATGCAGCGGAACTTTTTATTGGTTGCAATACACGAGATACAAATGGAGGGGCAGTGCTGTTCTTTGCATTCAGTAAAGTTCAGTTAATAGGGGCCGAAAACATCACACGATGGTTAGTGCACAGGCTAGAGAATTAGAATGACTTTATTGCCTTATCACGATTGTTGAATTGGAACGTAGCCTAGCTCACACTAGAACACTTTTAGCGCAAGCAGCTGCACCAAGTTGGCTCACTCAGACCATCGTGATTTACTCAAGTTGGCTCAAGTTGATTTCAAGTTGTCTTTCATATCCATTGACAATTGTTTTTTCAAAAAACTTCTTGCAAACTTCTTGATTTTCAGACATGACCAAATTGAAAAATTTTAAATTTCTGAAAGGCCAATTATTGCAGTCAATTGGCGATTGCCAACGCAATAATTGTAATTGGCGATATCAATTATCAGTGATAGTTTTTTCAATTATTGCAACTAATTGTTTAATCAAAAATTCATTGCACACCCCTGATAATGGGTTGTTGATGTTCTCTACTTGAATCCAAAAAAAAACCACACGGGCCAAATTCAAGGACCTTCACTTCTCGGCAGAAGTCGAAAAGTTAGTATATGAACTCCTATGCGACGGAGAAGGCCATGATGTCATGAACGAGACCAACAGATTGCGGTAAAAAAAAGACATCCTTTATTTCATACCGGTCAAGAGTAGACCAACACCATATTAACCGATCAGAATCGAGAGCACAAAAAAACTAGGAAATCAAAAAATAATAATTAATTTTTCCTAATAAGCATTGTAAAATGTTGATTGAAACGTTTTCGCTTATTTTCTGCATCAACAGGATTAAAATAAATTACAAAATATACACAACGATCGAAGATTTGAAAAAGATTGACAAACAGGTCTGAGAAATGCCCTCAAACTTTCTGGCCAATCAAAAGAAGAAACTCATTTGGAAATAAGTCCGTGATTATGCGTCCCAACAAAAACAGGAAAATTAACTGTGGGTGGTATCAGAAACCAACAGATACATGTACCATACTAAATTTTAGAAGTTGCGTGTGCCATTCTGCCAGATTGGCACAGCGCAACCTTCCGACGAAGCACGAATTAGGGAGAAAAGGCCTTAACAGCGAAAAGTGCTTGAAAGGAGGGTCGAAAGATTCTGGAAGTTTCAATTTTTCAAAATTTCAATTAACGAGCGAGTATTTCTCAGAAATACGAAAAACGGCCATTTTGACCGAAAAAGTTGAGAAAAACAGAAAAACAGCAAATCTAGTGAGAAACAGTCACAAGAGAACACGAAAAAACGAAGCCTATTATCGTGACAGTCACGCACGATAAGACCCTTAGCGGAAGAAGATAGTGGGAAAGGAGGCTTCGGTGGTGGAGAGCAGTACCCTCCCGTGCCACGAATTGAAGGTAATAACGACGTTATTACAAGGAGAACACGGAAGTGGAGGCTTGGTCCCCCAGAGACTGATATATGGTGGAAGACTGTAGTAAACTAACTATTTAGCTACTCTGATGCCATAGATTTTTGAATTGACACCGGTATTATTTGATATTTTGGAATATGAGTAGCAAGGAAGAGGAAAGGGTCAATCCATCTCCAATGGTTTTAATATAGAACTGTCACCAAAAACATATTAAATTAGGATATTCGAGCCGTAATTTTAAAAGCAATCACGTAGTCTGAGGATCCGAGACTCAGCTATGTGTTTGTGTTCGCATGTAAATGAAAGCTGATCAAAAGTCGTTTGAATGATGGCCTAAAAATAGTAACTTTTTACTTAGCCCTAAACAGACAAGAAAATCATTTGACAAGGCCGAGACGGTGAAAAACGAGTAGAATTAAGGTAACTGACGCCTGCCAGTCGTTAATAGGTACTTTTTCTACGCACCGTCGCTGTGTAGTATTTGGGCGAATGTTACAGCGCCCCCTTCGGTACAAGAGAAGTTATTTTAAAGGAACTGTTCACCGGGTTTTCTGAAGCACGTCAACATGGAAAGATTATTATAGAGCGACGGATATCAACCGTAAACAGTTGTTGGATAATCAATATCCGAAAAAATGGTCGTCGCCGGTTGCATCGCAAGCCCTTGAAAAGATCATCAGGGAGGGCAAAAGCAAAAAAAAGATGGCTGAGAAATAGAAGCCGTAATTCTAGCAGCGATTCACCGCTCATCTTGATGGTTCAATATCGGAGCGATCACAGTGAGATATTATCAAAAAAAAAGTGCTCGACATCATCAACGCGCAGATAATATTCACGAAGAGGAAAATGAAAACTTGTATGCCCTCTTTGATATCCTCCTTTCTCAGTGAACTGAAATCAAAAGTGGTGTACAGAATTAACTGTTGTGGGTGCAAATCTATCTATGTTGGCCAGACGGTCCGACATCTCATCAAAAGGTTTGGGAAACACCGAATAAAGGCCACCCCAGTTGGACAGCATATTTGGCAGTGTGGAAGTGGTAAAATGAGTTTAATTGGAAGATAATCGACCAGGCGTCCAGCATCATTAAGTTACAGGAAAATCTCAGAAATTTACAGGAAAATGTTATTCATGATTACGTAATTATATTATGTAATTACAGTTGTTCAAATTTGATTGGTTAAAAAGTTTTAGAGCTTTTTTAGACACGTTTCTCATTTTTCAGATCTTTGATCGTTTTGTAAATATTGTAAAAAAATTTTTAACCTGATGATGCATAGAATGTGCGAAAACGTTTGTTTGAATTAACATTTTAAATTTCTTATAAGTTACTTACATTAGAGGTGCTGCACATTAGGAAAGAGATACCGACAATTAACACGCGCGACGAATTTAATTTAGGAAACTGACAAAAATTTATAGTTCCAGAATCGGAAAAAAATTTGGCAAAAAAAAACACTGAAATAACTTACATGTTAGCATGAAAAAAGCGACAAAGCGAAATTGTAACAAAAAAATGTAAAAACTCTCAAAAGTATGTGATTAATTGTAAAAAAAAATGTTACATAATAGTTGTTTGATAATTTTAGTAATAATTTTGAAGTTGTGATTTGTCAAAAATGTTAAGATTTGAAACAATGATGAGTATGACACTTTTCATGATCTTTGATCAGTTTTTACAGATAGTTTAGATTTTTAAAATCTGAAGATGCACAAAATATGCAAAAAAGTTTGATTGAATTTACAATTTTAACACATTCACACAATTGTAGAACTGTAATTACTTAATTACAGAAACCTAACCAATAGTTTCATTTGGGCCAGTCGGTCATATTTGGAAGTTTGACCTTGAGGAATACGAACTACCTAATTTTGGGATGAAATTTAGTTTTTCAAAAATTTGAATTGAGCCTGTCATGCTCAACTTTCTCGCGAAAACCGAAAATCTCAGAAATACAAGATCAGAACGACCGGATAACAATCGCTGGAAAGTGGTCAATTTAAGCAGCGGGAAATTGCTATTCGCAATTTCCGACATCTAAATAACACGAGAGTAGAGCTGTCCTATCTTGATACAGAAAACAAAGAACATCGAAATTCAGTTGGACCAGAGTGAACCATCGGTGGAAAGGTGGACAACCGAGGTGTCCCAATGGCCCAGAACCAAAACTCCATTCTTGAGATAAAACTTGTTCGATTAGAACTTACTGAACCCAACTTAATTCCCATATTAATCTCAAGTTACTTACTAATTTAGTTACCTCTAATTCTCGAGTGTGCTGGTATGTGAGTACCCAATTTAATTTTTTTGAGTGTGTTTTGTGATTGTTATGTTAAGATGAGGAGAGTTTTAGGTTGATCCATTTGAAATGGATCAAAGTTTCACTGTCTAATAAAAAGTAACTGTACGGATTGTTCCGACCCTGTTTTTAATGGCATTTGCGTATTTTGGGTATTTTGAGACCTAAGTATGGGAACGTTCTTATTTTCTAGAGTGGGGGGGTATTTTGGTCGTAGCCTTTAAGCTGTAACGGGTTTATAGTCTCATGTCGCAAGCGAACCGAATTGGCTCCGACCGTTCGAGGTAGAAAAACGCAAGAAATAGTGACGCTGTCTCTTGAGCCAATGTTTATACGGCCTATTTTTTTTAACCTCATGTGTGACCAAAGTAGGCTACTGTTATAGAGTGTTTTTTTGGTGCTCCTGGGTGGGACTGAACCACCAGCCGTTCGGTTAACAGCCGAGGTACTTTTAATATGATTAGTACTTTTCGCGGGAAAGTGGTCAATTTAAGCAGCGGGAAAATGGTATTCGCAATTTCCGACATCTAAATAACACGAGAGTAGAGAGGTCCTATCTTGATACAGAAAACAAAGAACATCAAAATTCAGTTGGACCAGAGTGAACCATCGGTGGAAAGGTGGACAACCGAGATGTCCCAATGATCCAGAACCAAAACTCCATTCTTGAGATAAAAATTGTTCGATTAGAACTTACTGAACCCAAGTTAATTCCCCAATTATTCTCAAGTTGTTCACTAATTTAGTTACCTCTAATTCCCGAGTGTGCTGGTATGTGAGTTCCTAATTTAATTTTCTTGAGTGTGTTTTGTGATTGTTATGTTGAGGTAAGGAGAGTTTTAGGTTGATCCATCTGAAATGGATCAAAGTTCCACTGTCTAATAAAAAGTAACTGTACAGATTGTTCCGACCCTGTTTTTAACGGCGTTTGTGTATTTTGGGTATTTTGAGACCTGAGTATGGGGACGTGCTTATTTTCTAGAGTGGGGGTTGTATTTTGGTATTGGCCTTTAAACTGTAACGAGTTTTTAGTCTCATGTCGCAAGTGAACCGAAGTGGCTCCGACCGTTCGAGGTAGAAAAACACAAGAGATAGTGTCCCTGACTCTTGAGCCAATGGTTATAGGGCCTATTTTTCTTTAACCTCATATGTGATTGAAGTAG